ACATTTGGACCAGTGTCTTTTTCTCGGCATTACTATTACATTTTCTTTCTTTTTTATATAAATAATTTTATATACAATGTATTATATTATTGCGCATTAAATATACATTATTTTGTATATTTTAAATTGTATTTTTTAAAGTATGAGTCAAAAAGTGAGGGGGGAAAGGGAGGAGAGAAAGAGAGTTTGGTTTGACTCATACTTCAGAAAACACAATTTTAAAAATATGTATAGATAAATAATAAAATGAATATATTTACCTATAAATTGACAAATATACACACGTACAAAGTAGAAAGCCAAAACTCTAAAGCAATATAGATTATATATGCATTATATATAATACAGAAAGTAGAATGTACTGTATATAGAAAATAAGTTATATAAATATGCATATGTATATAGTAACTATTAAGTAATTATATTCGAGAACAAAACAATAATTACCTAAGTTACTATTACATTTTCAATGCAACAGTACTGTCTTGAGTAGAAAACTGTCTTGAACTCACAATGGAAAACACTATCCACTTCTAGAACTATGCATTCTGAATGTAGATTGAAGCAGACTATTTGCTTGCTCTCTCTCTCTCTCCCCTCTCTCTCTCTCTCTCTCTCTCCCCTCTCTCTTTCTGTCTCTCTCCCCTTTCTCTCTCTCTCTCTCTCTCTCTCTCCCCTTTCTCTCTCTCCCCTTTCTTTCTCTCTCTCTCTCTGTTTCTCTCTCTCTCTCTCTCTTCTCTCTCTCTCTCTTCTCTCTCTCTTTTTTGTTCTTTCTTGTGGTTCCTCCCATTGGTTCCAATTCTTGACAACATGACTAATGTGAAAATGTTTAATAGGAATGTATATGTAGAGCCTATATCAGATTGCACACTGTCTTGGGGTGGGGTGGGGAGGGAGAGAAAATTTGGAACTCAAAATCTTACAGACATGAATGTTGAAAACTAAAAATAAATAGATTTTTTAAAAAAGGATACTGTTTTGATAAAAATAAAAACTCTTCTTTTCAACTAAGACTTAAAGACTTAAACTTCAGCTAAGACTTTTCAGCTAAAACTTAAGGGAAATCTGTCAGGGAAAAATCTTGCAGAAAAAGGATTTCCACTTCTCTTTAGAGAGAGAATAGTACATTTTTGCCTGCTCAGGCTTGAAGCTGGCCATTCGATGTCAGGAGTGGAGGGAAGAAGCACAGTTCCCCCATTTAGAAGAGTTGGTATTGTGGGCGCTCTCCCCATTTTATAGATGAAGAAATTGAGGTAAAGGCATGTGCTCAGATTTTCAAAGTTGGCAAGCATCTGAGCCTGGCCACGGACTCTCCTGACTCCACTGCGCCCCCTAGCTACCTATGGCTTTATAGCCTGGTTGATGACTTCATTTTTCCCTCCTAGCAACTGAAAGGCTAGCAGGGGCAGGGAACCTGAGGCCTCCAGGCCCTATGTAGCCCTCTAGGTCCTCAAATGGGGCCCTATGACTGAATCCAAACCTGACAGAACAAATCCTTCGGGAATTTTAGGGCCGCAGGCTCCCCACCCCCGGAAGGCTTTTTCAAGTGACAAAAATCTTTACTTTTTATTATTTTTGATCTTTAGAGAGCCCCCCAAAACTCTAAAAATTCTGAACCTGATCCTCTTCATCTCTCCCTCCTGAGAGCTTTGGTTTACTTACAAAAGTGAGTTAGAGAAAGAGGGGTGAAGGGGAATCATCTAACTTTAAAATTCCTATATTTAAGAGACCTAAAAAACAGAGGGTTTTGTCATGTAAGAGTCTCTGGTTTCCCCCTAATATCTGGCAAAATGAAATCTCCACAACTGCCACGGTCACAGATCAGCCAACAGGGCCTTCCTGAACACCACGTGATGCCTGCGGTTTCTCTGCTCTGCCTGATGTTACGATCAAATGCAGAAGACTCATGAAACAAACACAGTTAATCTCACCAGGGCCTAAGGTGCTGCTGGACAGCTGGAGTTTAAAGGGGAACTGAGCTGGGCCCCCTTCCCAGCCCTGCATGCACACACTGATCACTGCGTGGATAAACTCGCTCTGCAGGTGGGTCCTGAAGACGTCACAATGAAAAGGAACACCTCATCTTACCACCAATTCTTTGGCTAGGTCCAATTCCATTTACCATTTGCCGAAAGCAGTCTGTCTGAGCTGATGGCTCTGGGAACTTCAGTGTGTGAGAACCCCCAGGCAGGGCCAACACTCAGTCATATACCCACCCACCTGGGGCCACTTGAGTGGCACACACTCCTCTCCTCTCATGGACCCAAAGCACCTCAAAGGTGAGCTACAGTGCTGCATGTGACCTCTGAATTCAGGTTTGCCAATACAGATATGGTCTGGTAGCAGACAACTGGCAGTCAGTTATCATTTATGATGCATCTCCTATGGGCCAAGCATCACGCTAAGCACTGGAAAAACAAGAAAAGGCCACAGACAGTCCCTGCTCTCAAGAAGCTTCCAGTCCAATGGAGGTGAAAAGATGCAGACGACACGTACAGAGTAAATCAGCAGGAGGAAGGTGCTGGCATTAAGGGAGTTCAGGAGGAAGCTGGATGAGGAGGGACAGCCAAAGAAAATGCTTAGAGTGAGTGTCGTGCTCGGGGATGAGCAAGGAGGCCGGTGTCGCTGGATGAGAGGGTCCAGGTCAAGGAAAAGGCATAAGAAGACTGGAAGGGTGGGAGGGGGCCGGGGTCATGAAGGGATTTACAAGCCATACAGCACTTTATAGAAGCCACTGCAGCCGATTATGGGGATACAGAGACAGGTATGGATATGCTACCCCTAAAACACCATCCCACCCCAATCCACGGTTTCCACAGCCAAACTAACATGGTGATTTTAGAGCTGGAAATGACATAACACGTTTGCTACACTTTCATTCTTCTTAAAATCCTTTCTCTTCCAATGGATTCAAAGTTTCCAAAAATTGTACTTCTCTGAGGTAAGGCAGAAAACAAGTCCACAGCAGGAAGGCCAGGGGAGGGCCTGAATCTCTGCGTCTGCAATGTCTTCAGCTGGACAACTTTCCCAGGCTCCAACATGCTCTGGCCTCCCGCCTTCCAGGTTGGAGCTCACTGATCCACACAACACTACCCCCTTCTTTCCAGCAGAGGGCAGCAACATGCCCTCAGCAGAGCTGATTCTCCACAAGTGCACTTTCTCTAAAGTACACACATACTCTTGTTAAGGCCCACTTGGCACCTTCACAGGATGACTGACTATCAGGCCAAGGGTCCAGGAAATGCAGCTCACCACCTGAGGGTCACTGGCCACAAGAAAGCAATGGTTTTCAAAGCATCTCCATCTTTCCTTGATAGCAAGTCAACGACCATTTGCTTTAGCTTTCAGCTTTGAAAACCTCTGCTTTCTTGGGTGGTGAGCTGCAATTCCTGAGTCTCAGACGACTTCCCAGCAAGAGTTCCAGGGCCAGCCCTCTCTGAGAGACACCCTGGTGCCCTCTGCTGAGTGGAGAGAGTCAAAGAGAGGGCCACAAGGTTAGAGGCAGCTGACTTCATTCACCTGCTCACACATATGCTCAGGAGTAAGGGTGAAGTCCACCCTACCAGTTCGGAAGCTGTGGGCCTGGCTGTTCCAGAGGCAGTGGCCGAGGGAAGGGTGGAGGCGGCTGCAGTGTCAGCAAAGGGAGGCCACAGTTAGTGGTGGCAGTACAGGCTCTTTCCCAGGGTCCCCACTAGCGATCAGAATTTGGGACAATCAGGCCAGATGCTTACCGTGCACAGATGGTAAAGAAAGGACTCAAATAAGAAACAAAGACGGCCAACACTAATGGACGAGCATTTATTAAGCTCCTACGGTGTGCCAAGGACTGTGCTAAGTGCTGAGAACACCAAGAAAGGCAGAAAACACTCCCTGGCCTCAAGGAGCTCAAGGTCTAATGGGGGAGACAACAAATATAAATCTGTACTCAAAAACCTGACCTTTAAGATATGTACTAACAATGTTTCTTTCCAGTGGATAATGCTAATTGTAAACAAAAAACCAACAACGAACCCAAAACAAAAGCGTCTAGACAACGAGATCATCATTACTGGAAGGTCCCTTTAGGGCCAGAACCCACAGGGCACCGAGGTGGAGCCAGAACTAGAAGCCAGGTCTTTCTCCCAGCCTCGCCTCCTGCCACACACCAGGAACGCTCTCTACACCAGCTCCCCAGAGCCTTCTCCTCCAGCCCAGCTCAGGCCAGCTCTGGAAGTCAGGGGCAGCCCCGATGAGCCCTCCCATCTGTGCACGTGGAAGACGCCTGGCCCTCTCTCAGGGACTCCTGGATCCTGTAGCCGCAGCATGGACGTCTCAACACCAAACTCTGTGATGCCCCACAAAGAAACCGATGTCGCCTTGGTCACCGAACTCGCATGGGTTACAATCAGACAGCGCATTGTCTTCCATCACGCATTTTGCTCCTCATCTCCAGCCTCCATTCCTTTGTCCCCAGGCCTAGAATGCTCCCCCTCACCCTGGAGGAAGCTTCCTTCCTGCCTCTGGAGGCCTCTCAGGGCCCCTGGTTGTCAACCTCGACTCTGAATGCCCAGAGCCCAGAACATGGCAGGCGCTTATTTAGAAAATGATTGCTGGTCACATGCTGTGGCCCAGGTGAGAGAGCTGTGGAATGAGAACCAAGCAATCCGGGCCCCTTTTCAGCCTGTCTGAGGTCTGTCTGTCCACCTGCTCTGGGTCCCACCCCTCCCCTATCCTTTCCCTGTTTCCTCCTATGTAAAACAGGCACCCCTCAAAGGGCTTCAGTAGAGCAAGCCCAGAAAGAAGGGCCTCCACTGGGAAACACACAATGTGTTACTACTAAGCTGTTACTAACTCTAAGGGAAATATTTTATACCTTTCAAAGTCTGATGTAATTTATCTTTTCCACAAAAACTTATCCCCTACCTCTAACTAGTATGAATTCATGAGGTTTTAGTCTATTTGTGTTCTGGACCAAATACCCATTTGGGGGGATTATTCCTTTGAAGAAGAGGAGTCCTTACCTGGTCTGAGAAGGTGTGGGTGTGTAAAGGGGCTGGGCTGGCCTAGATACCGGCTGGGAATCTTCCTCTCTGGAATAGGCTGGAGGGACAACCTCCTTGGTAAAAAGGGTGTGCATCCTAAGGAAAGAGTAGAGAGGACGAAGGCAAATAAACAGGTCTTAAGAGTCTACAGTCAACCAGTGAGCATTTATGGACTGCCTAAGGATGTGCCAGGCCTTGGGATAGGAAAAAAGAATGGTGCAATCCCTACTCTTGAGCTTACATTGTATCCACATGTGCTCCAAGCAGTTGGGAAACTTCACTCAAAGGGAAAATTGCTCAGTAAGCTTTCCCCCCTACTCTTAGACCAAGAATTTCTTAATTTGCTTTAGCATGAAACCAAATACCTCAACAATGTCTATTGTCTCAGAGCCAGCCTAGCCCAGACCAGAGAGGCCCAGCATCAGGATGGCAGCATTCTTCTGGCCCAGACACTCCAGATGTGCTTTCACAAGTGAAGGGGGTAACCAGAAGACACTGCAAGCACTGCATGGTTTTAGTAGCCTTAGGCCAGGAGTCAGGAGACTGCTATTTACTGTAAGCTAGGAGACTCTGAAAATCTTAACTCGCTGGTCAGCTAAGGAATGTTCCTTAGCATTCCTAAAGCATCACAGAAATGAGCTGTTTATTGCTAACCTCTCTTGAGTCACAATGATAAACACAACATTGACAACTGTTACAGTCTGGCTTCCCCAAATGAAGGTGGCTCCATGGTGGTGAGCCCAGAGTGGGGTGGGGACAGGACAACAAAATCGTGCTCTAGGGAAAGGAAAGATCATAGAGTTTAAGCTAGGAAGCACCTCAGAAAGGGGGGGAGGAGGAAGGGAACGGGAAATTCACATGAAGATGAGGAGGCTCTTGCAGGGAGACCATGCTGATGTGATACTCAAACAGATCTCATTAATTCAGGAGCTCCCTCCAGTAACTCGGAGAACCCATCCCCCCTGCCAATTCTGGGGAACTCTTCCCGAAGAGAGGCAGGCCTTTCTCGATTTCTCCTGACACTGTACCAGCTGAGCTCTTTGTCCACTTCTAAGTCTGCATTCTTCTCTGGCTGTCCGTGCACTTTTCCACGGGGTTCCTTTACTCCTATTCTTAAGAGTTTCTAAATATTCCCCCCCCCACAGGCCTCTCCACTGCCCTCCGGCCAATTCTCATCTCTAATTCTTTGGAGGCAGTCATAGTCTGGGTCACACTCAATTCCTCCAGCGCTGGCTTCTCCTCCTCCCGGCTCCCCTCATTCATGTGTACAGTGGCCCCAACCTAGAAAATAAGCTCCTTGAAGACAAGGCCTACTTCATTTTTGTCTCTGCACCCCCCAGCTTTTGGCACACACTAGGTATTTTAATGTCTGTTAAATGACTGAACTTGAGGTTGGCCTGAAGCAAAATGGGTAGATGGACATCCTGTGGCTGATCTGCATGATGTGAAGGGTCACAAAGAAGATAGCAGATAGCGCCCACATCCATGGGATCGGATTTGTGAATGTGGCAAAAGCATCAAGAGAAGAAAACGCCACCTTGGGCGAATCTCTTAATTCTTTTCTTTTTTCTTGCTTTTTGGCTAGGCAATGGGGTTAAGTGACTTGCCTAGGGTCACGCAGCTAGTGAGCGTCAAACGTCTGAGGTCACATTTGAACTCAGGTCCTCCTGACTCCAGGGCCGGTGCTCTATCCATTGTGCCACCTAGCTGCCCCTCAATGTCCTTATTTTTAAGAAAACAAGAGGACTGGACGAGAAGATCTGACCCTTCTCTCTAACAAGTACCTTTCCGCTCTGACATTCCCTTAACCAATTAAAAGTGTATGTATAGTTAAAGGCCTGTGGCCTACACGGCTTCAAGGGATCGTTCCTCACTAGCAGATCTCATCATGACAGGCACTCCCCATCCTGTCTGCCTTGCAGTGTGGAGCCTAGAATGGCGACATAAGCCTCAGTTCCCGAACAGCAAAAACGACGACTTCGTACTCGGAGAGCTCAATGGCACTGAGGTCCCCCATCCCTCAGAGGCCGGCCACGTCCCCCGGCCCTCCTGAGTTGGCAGGCTTTTGGTCCAGCCCATCACACTCCGCTGCTGGTACTCCACACCTCCTTCTATAGGAGCAAGCACCCCGTGGGGCCGAAGGGACGCGTTACTCCGGGAAGGCAGGGCGTTTATTAAGTGACTGGGAAGCGCCTCCTCCTCTTCCCGCCCCGCTGCTCCGAGTCCCTGCCCCTGGACTCCCCTGACTCCCGGAGAGCCGATCCACCTCCTTCCCAAGCCCGGGGGCGGCGGCGGGGGCACTCACTCCCCACCCCTCCGAGCCTCAGTTTCTCCCAGCCGGCAGCCCGGGAAGACTCGACTCTAACCTGCGAGGCGGCGGGCGCTCCCGGTGGCGGGCCCGAGCCGGGGCGCCCACAGCAGCCAGGGCATGGCCGCCAGCCCCTCGCGCGTGCGGGACGGCAGCCACTGGCACACGGAGGCGCCGCGTCGCTGGGAGACCCGGGCGCTTCCGGCCGCGCAGGCGCGCTGGGCCGGCGGGGGCCTTCGGCGGGGGCGGCGCGCGGCGATGGCGTCACAGGCGTCCGGCCCGGTGGCGTCCCGGGGCCGGCCCCGCCCGGCACCACTCCAGGGCTGCCTGCCGAGGACGCCTGAGCACCGGCCCCTCCAGAGGCCGCCCGCCGCCAGCCCAGCGGCCTTCACCAGTTCCGCGAATCAGCAGCAGCATGGGGGGCAGCGGAGGCGTGTGCGCCAAGCACGGCTGCGCGTTCGGGCAGGCGACGAGCACGCCCGGGCGGCTTCTAGAAGGTTCGTGCGCAGGTGCGGCGGAGCGCGGCGCGGGGGAGGAGCCGCCGCCAGGACCCCAGGGCCCCACGAGACTGGCCGGGGGGGCGGAGCCATCCGCCGCCCAGGACCCACTCGGCTCCAACGTCGCGCGTCTGTCTGCCCGCCTCCTCCGCCCCTTCCGTCTCTGCCAGCGCCGGCTTCGTCACGCGCGAGCGCGAGCAGCCGCCCGCCGCCGCTCCAGAGCCCGCCGTCCCTGGCCCGGTCACCGCTGCCCCTTCCCCGGCTCCGCCTCCGCCCAGCATGGACAGCCGCAAGCTCAGCGAGCTCCAGGCCTTCATCAGGCTCTGCCAGCAGGACCCGGGCCTTCTGCACACGGACGAGCTGCGGTTCCTTCGGGACTGGGTGGAGAGGTGAGGCCCGAGCGGGGCGGGACGCGGACCGTTGGGGGGGGAAACGGAGGGGGCGGCGGGGGGCCGAGGTGCGTGCGGGGCGCGAGGGACAGGGAGGACAACCGCTCTGTGCGGGCCTGGAAGGCTGCCTCCGCGGGGGAGGGGCGCGCGTGCCGGCTGCGCAGAGGGGAAAGGTCCTGGGTACGTGAGGAGGAGGGATGCGTGTGCCCGGCTGTTGGGGGGGAGGGGGAAGGTCTTAGGTACGCTAGGGGGAGGGCGCGCGTGCCCGGCTGTGCAGAGGGGAGAGGTCCTAAGTACGCTAGGGGGAGGGGCGCGCGTGCCGGGCTGTGCAGAGGGGATAGGTCCTAAGTACGCTAGGGGGAGGGGCGCGCGTGCCGGGCTGTGCAGAGGGGAAAGGTCCTAAGTGCGCTAGGGGGAGGGGCGCGCGTGCCCGGCTGTGCGGAGGGGAGAGGACCTAAGTACGTTAGGGGGAGGGGCGCGCGTGCCCGGCGTGCAGAGGGGAAAGGTCCTAGGTACGCTAGGGGGAGGGGCGCGCGTGCCCGGCTGTGCAGAGGAGGAAAGGTCCTATGTACGCTAGGGGGAGGGACGCGAGTGCCCGGAGTGCTCAGGGGGAGGGGCGCGCGTGCCCGCACTTCAAGTTGAGGAGGGGGAAGGCTCAGAGTACGCTAGGGGGAGGAGTGCCCACCTTCTCCCCGCCCCGTGGGGGGCCCTCCATGTTTTGGTCAGGTCATTTGCGGGCACAGCCAGTTCTCTCCCGGGGCTTACTTGCCCCCAAGGGGGTGGGGTCAGTTGCCCCGCTGGATTTGGGTTGGAGGGGAGAGGGGGCGTGTCCGTGCTGGAGGTGGGCGGGGCAGGGGCCCTGCAGACCCGCCCTGCTGTCCAAGGTGGGGCTAAAATGGCTTGCTTGGGAGTCGGGCTCTTTGGAGGGCACGATCCAGGCCAGCCTTCTCATTTTTCGAGGGGGCAACAGTGAAAGTGAGGCGTTTTGACCGAGGTCGCCTAAGTGGTGACAGGTCCAGTCCCCGATCTGCCTGGCGATGAGTTAGATTCGGACTCCCCTGATGTCCAGGAGCCCCCAAGGCCTCTTCTGCAACTCTGTTTGCATTTTGAAATCATAGCAGTTTCAGGTGTTAAACCCTTTGATGATGAGAAGTGATGTTTTACAGGACCAGCACTGGTTGCAGTTCAGCTGAGTTGGTTTTTGGATGTTGTTTCCATTTGTTATCGTGAATCTGTATTTGGGTTCTTCTGGTCCTGCTTCTCTCCCGACCAGTGCCTATAAACCAGGCTAGGATCTGGGCCTGGCCCTGGGCTTTGGCGGTCTCATCAGCTCCCACGGCTTTAGCTGTCATCTCTCTTCAGAGATCTCCGTAGATCAGCTTTGGTAGGGAAGCTGGGGAGCCCATCTAGGGCCTCTCACAGCTGGGTTTTCTCTTACTACTGATTGGAAGCATTTTTCATGTACCTGTTGGTAGTGGATAAGGAAACTTGGTTCACATCTGTTGACCTCTTGCCCTCATTAGCTCTCCCACTGCTATTTCTCTTTATGCCTTGGATTTGCAATGTCTTTCCTAGAAGGCTCAGGAAGAGTCTTTTAATCCACTTGGTAGATGCTCCAATTCTACCTGCAAAGAAAGGCACAGGGACTGTCTACACAGTGGTTGCAAGACTTGATATTTTTAAAGAGGTGGATGAACTCAGGGACTATAAGACCAGCAAAAGGAAGTTACTTACTGAAAAGATAGAAGGCATCTGCTGTAAATGAACGTTTGGCGCTCAGCACAAGCTGTAGTATCTTTAGAGTAAAAAATTTTTAAACACTTTTGTTGATGCTTTTTAAAAACGGTGCTATCACTTTCCATTGACTCCCCCAGTCTACAGTTTTTTATTCTAAAATTAATCTGTGATATTTTCACAAGGAGATTTTTGTCTATAACCCAGCTCATCTGAGATTCTGAGCATGTTCTTGAGACGTTCTGAGAAAGATTTTTCCATTTTCATTCTTTAGAAATACCCTACTCTACAATTTCTCCATATGTTAAGGAACAGAGAAGCAGAGTGCCATTTGTATTTAGCTGTTAGCCCACCGGAGTTTCTGTGGATTCTGAAGTTTTTAGAGTTCACAGTTTTAAGAAATGTTCCCTCCTCGCCCCCCATCATTCAAATACCGAAGTGGATTTGTGGTCCCTTCACTTATGGAATTCTCTTCAGAGATGCAGATGGCAACTCACCCATCCCTGCCCAACCCACAGAACCGTACTTACCCTTCGGAAGTCAGACGAAGGAAGCTTACCCGAGGTGCTAGAAACCTTTCTTGATTCGTGTAGTTCCTGCCTGAGTTGATGGTAGTTGCTCACACTTGTTCTCTGTGGGGTTTGTTTATCTTTAGTTCTACAGAGGCAGTGGTGGTCTACATCCAACTTCTGTGCAGCAACACTGCTGTGATTACTTTTTTTTTTTTTGGTGAGACAATTGGGGTTAAGTGACTTGCCCAGAGTCACACAGTTATATGTCTGAAGTCGGATTCGAACTCGGGTCGTCCTGACTCTACTGTTCTGCCTAGCTGCCCCTATGATTAACTTTTAAAGATGGGCTTCAGCAGTTATGGAAAACTTGGAATAAGTAAGAGGACTTTACAACTTGCTGAGAATGAACCAGACCAATCTTTATTGTCCATCTCTAGTGTCTGTCCCAGATCTAGAGACGCTGGAATGGGTTTTACAGGGTTAAGAGGTATGGCGAACTCTGGGCAATAGACTCCTCTGCCCTTGTTCTTTGTGAGATTTTACGAAGGACTTTATTTTGAATCTAGTAATGCCCACAGCCATTTTCTCTTTTGGCCGGTCACATTACTGCTAGCTGAAGGGCTTTCTGCTCTCTTCTGGGCTAGTTGTAGCAGCTGGTTTACATTACTTTAATTTCTGGATGAAACGGTAAATTTGATGTCATTTCTGTTGTCCATCGACCATACTTGGTTTTCAGTTGCTTGGTGAAATATTTCTTCTTAACTGTAAGCCCTATTTTTTCCCTCGTAACTATTTATTGTAAAGCCTGGTTTTAGTTCTGGTGAGCCTCCGGATGGTTCAGCTTTCCAGAGACATCAGGGATAACTCCCTCTTCCTTAATTATCTTCTTGCCTATTAACATGTCAGTTTTGTTTTTGGGATCTTTTTTTTTTTAAACAAAGTTTTGAAGATCATGAAGTATGACGCTGCTTTTGTACAAATTCTGCAGATTGTGTAGCTTTGGCTAGCTCTCATTTCTTTCTGCTTAAATCACATTTGCTGTGTACTTCTCCTGATCCTCACCTTTTCCTGCCTTTATGCATCAAAGTCTTGAAGTATTAGAATTGTTCTACTTCTTTATCTTCTGCAACTGATGTTGGTACGTAAGCTGCACTGGTCGTCATGTTGACCATTTTGCAGACACCCGGCATTAATTCTGCAGCATGTGACGGCAGATGTTCCGTGAAAAGTTCTGGTTGCTTTTGAATGTTCAACAGAACTTGCTCTTTCAGGTCCTTTGTTGCCTCTCCAAGCTGTACCTGTGGATTCTAGTTTAATTTCTGGTAATTAACAAGCATTTGTTAAGTGTCGACTAGGTGTCAGACAGTAGACCGAGGATAAAAAGAAAGGCAAAAACCCAGTCCCTCCTCGAGAAACTCAGATTCTAATGGGGAGAGTCCATGGAAATAACGTACACACAAACATGTATACAGGAGATAGAGTAAATGAGAGGTAAGCTGAGAGAGAAGGCACTGGGGGTGGAGACCAGGAAAAGCTGAGCCTGACAGGAAGCCAGGGGGAGGGCACAGGCTGGGCAGAGGCACAAAGGTGGGAGATGGAATGTTCAGTACCAGCCAGGAGGCTGGAGGAGCTGCGTGGTAGAGGGTGCTCAGGGCAGGCGCGTGTAAGAGGCCTTCAGAGGCTGCCAGTGGCCAAAACCAACCAACCAGCTTTGATCCCAAGTCCCAGGAAGCCACCAGTTTGTTTGAATGGGAAGTTTACGTATGCGGTCCTCCTTGAGCTTTAGGAAAATTCCTGTGGCGGGTGACACGGAGGTAGGCAGGCTGTTGCCATGATTCAGCCATGGGGGCCTGAGCTGAGAGGAGGCTTTGGGTGGAAGCGTGTGTGTACAGAAGAGATGCGCCTCGTGGATTGGGTGTGCGCAGTGAGTGTAAGGATGACTGCTGGGGGGGAGCCTGGAAGGACAGGGGTAGACTTGGGAAGAGAGGAAGGTGTGGGGAAAGATCCCGAGGCCCGGATGTGGCAGTCATTGATATGTTGTTGGGCACCGGCAGGTCCTTAGCAAGTGTTTGTGATTGCTGTGACCCAGCAATTAGGGACGGTGTATGTGTAATGCTGACAGCAGTCTGTCAGTGGTCCCCAGCCCAGAGACAGTGAGCCTTGGGGGAGGAGGCCTCGGTTACTAGTTACTGCGAGGGAACCGATTCTTTTTTTTTTTTTTAACAAAAATACTTTTTGTACACTGGATAATCTTAACTCTTGAACTTAGGGACTAGGTCTTTGATTTCCTTCATGCGGGCCAGCACCTTCGCTACAGCCTAGAGAGTTCTTTAGGGCCTTGGGAGACCTCCTAAGAGACTTCCTTAGTCACATACAGCGAGATCCTTCTGGCCCCAGGGGTAGCACTAGATCTCTCCTCCTCCCTCAATTACACCATTGTTGCCTCTAGGAAGAGTTTACCTGGAACATTTAAAGAGTTGAAAAGACTAAAGATAAAACTTTAAATGCACTGTAGCACTGTTAAGGTTTAGGGGGGCTGGGACCCCAAGATCACAACATGCAGGTCCTGCCCAAATGAATTCGACCCAAGCCTCCTTTCAGCCAAAGACAAGGTTTTATTAGAATATCCACCATATTGGCCAGACCCTTAAGGAATCTGAATATTACTGGGCTAGATTTTAAGAATCTGAGTACCTTATTAATAGAGAAGATGGACCTTATATATGGAAAGACTGTGGTTAGGATCTAGGAGTGGCCAAGTAGTGTGGGGTGACCAGAGGAGGAGGGGTCTAAGGAGGATCTGGGTGGGATTGGCCAATAAGCTGGGGTGAACAGAACCCCAGGGACGTGGACGTGTGGGTCCTTTAAAAGAAGGGAGTTTGAGTAGAGATGTGACCTGGTTAGATCTGCACTGGAGGAAGTCACTTTGGCAGCTGTGCCCTATGGGTAATTATTTTCTCTGAGAGAGAATGACATAAAACCTAACGATGGTTGGCAGTACAAAATGCTGGTGTTAGCCTAGTCCCCCAGAATGAGCATGGGGGGGGTCTTAAGTGAGGAGGTACCACTTTTTTCTCTGATAACTGTGTCTCCCACAGCCTCCTATACTTGAATGCTATTATTTTTCCTCAGTCACAAGCACTTATTGGGCAATCATGTGACTTGCAAGTGAATTGATTTAAGTGAGGGAGGGCTGTGCAACATCACCAGCTTCACTGGGTCCGGTGGTAAGACATAGGAGACCTTGGCCTTTTCAAGCTGAGTTCTTTAATAGTCTCCTGACTGAGGCAACACCCATTCAGTGATTAAGGCCGATTTCCAGTGAAAGAGCCTTAATCTCTGGAAATACAAATACTAACAGAAAGAAAGGCAGACCCTGGCCTCAAGGAGCTGCCCACAAAGGGGAGCTGAAAGGAGGGGTCCCCGTGGGAGGCTCGTGGCATCCTTGAGAGGAACCAGCCAGTCTGAGTAAGGGCCTGGTGCAAGAATAAGAGGAGTACTGTGCTGCATCGAGGGTCCGGCTGAAGCGACGGGGTGGAAAGAACAGTGAAGCTCAGAGGAAGACAGGCCAGGCTGGCTGGTGGGTGTTTGTTGTGTTTTTTTAAAGCTTCCAGATGACGGTGCTCCTCAGGACTCCCTCACATCCCCAACTGCTGCTTTCCTGTTGAATATTCGGCCCTTCCCACTCCTCCAGTCGCCCTCTCCCCTTAGCCCTCCATCCCATCCGTCGGATAACCTTACAGTGAGGAAAATTAAGATGATAATGTTACTAATAGCATTTAAGGCTTGTGAAATACTTTGTTAAGGATATCTCATTTAATCCTCAGAACAGTCTTGTGAGGCAGGTGTTTACAAGCATTATCATTCTTTTGCAGATGAGGAAACTGAGGCACAGAGCAGCTAAGAGACTGGCCTGTGGACTTACATCTAGTGTCAGAGCCATTCAGTCCTCTCTCTTCCCCTACTCAAAACCCCTCTTTACTCATTTTCCCCCAAGATACATAAAAGTACCTAATTTTTTTCTAATTACCAAGCATTTATTTTCTCTCCCTTCCACCTACCCTCTCTCTCCCCCAAATAGAGAAAAAAAGGAAAAACAAAACCCTTTTAATATATGCTTAATCAGGGGCAGCTCGGTGGCACAGTGGATAGAGCTCCGGCCCTGGAGTCAGAAGGACCTGAGTTCAAATCTGGCCTCAGACCCTTGACACTTACTAGCTGTTTGTCCTTGGGCAAGTCACTTAACCCTGATTGCCTCACCAAAAAAAAGCAAGGAAATAAATATATATCCATGTATGTGGGGGGGGTGCGCGGGGGGGTGCTTGATCAAGCAAAACAGATTCTCACTTTGGCCGTGCGCAGAAACACACAGGCCTGCCTTTTTGCATCATCTCCAGTGCGGGGGGGGGGGCGGTCTCCTGGTCTGCATCGTTAGCCTTCTGAAGTGCTTGGTGAGCACATCCATCAGTTCTTCTGTCATTGCCTCGTGGCTCTTCAGTTTCCTAGTTCCACTCTATTCGCTTCCTGCAGATTTTCCCGGGTATCTCTGAAACCATCGCTTTCCTCCTTCCATAGAACTGCAATATTCCATCCATTCACCCACCATAATTTGTTCAGCCTGCCTGTGGCTGCTGTCATCTTCTTGTGCACGTGGGCCCTTTCCCTCTTGCTTTGCTGCTCTCTTGAGTGCCGGCTCCGGCGGTGGGCCAGATCACAGATCCTGTGGCCCCTGCAGTCCTTGCCATCTTTGTTCACATCTTCCTCTTTATCTTTAAGCTCTTCTTTCGTTTCCAGCTGTGAGGAGCAGGTGGCTCTTCCCCTTGTGCCTTTCTGTCTTCTCTGGGAATCTGTACCATTCAGCATACTCTTTTCCATGGACATTTTTCCTGTTGCTCGTACCCAGAACATGCTCGGGTTTCCAGCACCCTGGAGAAACCTTACCTTGACCTGCAGATGCCTTGAGGTCTCTTCCCTTTCACCTTCAACCTTCTTCAAAACATTGTCTCCACTGGTTCACCACTCTCACCCCCTCTCGCTGCCCAGCTCTCCTCCTTGGCTCACCTATTGGCCCATCTACTGGAAGGAAGCCTTCCTGATCTGACTTCGTTGCAGTGCCTTCTCTGCTGGTTAGCTCCGATGTATCTGACAGCTTTTGCATGTTGTCTTCCACCTTAGACTGGGAGCTCCTTGAGATCGGGAACTGTGCCCTTCCCCTTTGCTGTGTCCCAGGCTTAGCCCAGGAGCTTAATGAATGTTTATTGCCTGGCTGCCTGCCTTGAATGAAAGCTGTTGTTGGATAGGACCCTCCCTCTGTCAGAGCCCCAGAGAAAGGTGGTGGCCATCGTGGGTCTCTCTCTCACCTGTGGTGTTGGCTTTAAGCGCGGTTTGCTGAGCCAGGGCCAGAAGGAGATGGTACTTGGGGTCTTTGAGGTAGAATCACCGAAGTGGCTGGCTGACGCAGCCTGCACTTTGTTGTAGGCAGTTTCACAAACATTTATAGAGTGCCCGGCTGTGTGCGTGGCCTGGTGGTGGGTGCTGATGGTAACAAAACAAAGAGTGGCCCTCCTCCGGAGGGGCAGTGTGGGCAGAGGTGATCAGGCCCTTCGCCGTGCCAGCCACTCTACCTGTTTTGAGGCCTAATGTCAGTGAAGTAAGTTCCTGCTGTGGCTTAAAAGGAAGGCCCTGGGTTTGATGCTGGGTGAAACGCACATACCTTCTGTTGTGATTCCTTTAAGTGGACAGAGCCCTTTTCCCTTTACAGCGGGGCTGGGGATGGCTCAGTTTAATAAGAGAGATGAGAAACAGAGAAATGACTGATCCTGATTAGATGTCCTTGCCCAGGAAACATCCAGAAAATTTTAAGAGAGTGAGATCTGCCCAAAGGGCTCGGTCCCTTCTGCTGGTGGCTGGGTTGGTCAGAAACCAGGGAAGACTTCATGAAGGTCAGTGACGTCATAGTCACTGGAGGTCTGCCTGTGTTGGCATGAATTCTAAGCACACGAGATACCCTTTGTGCTGTCATCAGAAGGAGTTTGAATGGGGGCTAGTCACAGAAAACCTGACCTTTTATGTGAAGCATTTTATTTTCTCTGACCTTCAAAAAATCATATAATGTATAGACAGTGGGATACATTTCTTCCCATTTTACAGATGAAGTAGAAGACTAACCAGCCCAGGGCCACAACTGCAAGGACCTGGATTCAGATATGACGTTTACTACTTAGCTCTGTGTGTTCTTGGGTCATCTGTAAATTTAGAGGGGTTGGCCAAGATACAAGGTAGCTGGCCTCCCCTCCCCTTCATAATAGCACTCTCATAACTCTACCCTGACTGAGCTCCAGATTCAGCGATCTTTCTAGTATGTCCCACTTATTGTTGGAGTGCTGGGAAGGGTCACGAATGTGGTTATGCGGAAAGAAATAGGATGAAGCAGGAATGAAATGGTCAATCATCAAAACCTGCAGAGGTCAGGGGAGGGGGAAGACATTTGGGGAACTTGTAAAAGAGACCTTGGGGCTGCTAGGTGGCGCCATAGCGCACAGGGCCTGGAGTCGGGAGGACTCATCTGCCTGGACTCTTAGTAGCCGTTATGAGTTTTTGAGCTGGGTCACGGAGCCACCCTGCCAAGAGTTACGAGTGTGCTTTGGATATGTCAGCAGTACGACTGAAAAGGGTCGGGGATATGGTGGAAGCTTTTTGCTTCACCGAGGTTGTTCAGGAAAAAGCTCAGGATGTGTAGTTCACACATGTTCCGTTTAGTTTAGGTTTTACTGTGTAGATTTTTGCCAGGGTAACCCGCCCGATAATTATAAAAGGTTTTTTATGGCATTAACAAAATGCCAACTAAAATGAATACTGCCATATGCATGGTAGAATAGAACATGATGATTGTTCGTGGAACTTGGCATCTTTTTGCACTGCTTGCTTTTCAAGTATACACACATTCACCACGTGACTTTCTGAGCTGTCCCATCTGGCTGTGATTCCTCCCAAGCATCCAGTTCTTTTCCTGGTGTGTAGCTCTTTGTTGTCAGCTATAGTGGCATAGTACAACTGTTTATGTTAAGATATTTAGTGAGTATTTCTGTTAAAATTAAAATTTTTTTTTCCTTTCTTTCTCCAGTATGGGTGGTAAAATCCCACCTGCTCCACATAAAGAGAAATCAGAAGAAAAAATCAAGGTAAGTAGAGATTCTAATTTGATCATTGTGGGTACAGCTAACTTTGGCTTTCTTTTTTTTGTTGTTGACTTATTTTCATTTTTTTAAAATGTTGGTGTTCAGATCAGCCTTCTCCCCCTCTCCCTTTGGCCCAAAAAATTTGAGAACACAAGAAAAATAGAACTCATTGTACACACGTGCCATCAGTGAAAACAGATTTCTGCATTGGCCACATCCTAAGGATATTTGTCTCATTTCACATTCTCATTTCTTCACTTCTCTCTGTCAGGAGTGGGTAGGCTATTTCATTGTTAATCCTCTGGAATTCTGGTTGGTCATTATGCTGATAAGAGTTCAGCACAGTAATCATTCCATCATACTTATAGACCATAACTTGTTTAGCCATTTTCCAGTTCATGGACACCACTCAGATCACTACCTCAAAAAGTTATGTAAGTATTTTTGTATATCTTTAGAATTTGTTTTGCTTAATCCCCCTCACCCTCCTTTCCCCCTTCAATCCACCCTTCTTTAATTTCACCTCTCCTGTTTCTCTGTTGAGTGAAATGTATTTCTGTATTCAGGCGTGTGTGTGTGTGTGTGTGTGTGTGTATTCCTTTTGACCAGTTCAGATGAGAATGAGGTTCAGTGTCAGGCCTGGTCCCCCCTACCCCATTCCCTCTTTGTATAGCTGACACTTATGTACTCTTGCTATGTGAGATAGTTTTTCCTAATCTCCCTTTCCTCCAGTGTTCCCTCTCCCTTTCCATTCTTTCCATCCTTTTTTTTTTAAAGACAATTGGGGTTAAGTGACTTGCCCAGGGTCACACAGCTAGTAAGTGTTATGTGGCTGAGGCTGGATTTGAACTCAGGTCCTCCTGACTTCAGGGCTGGTGCTCTATCCACTGTGCCACCTAGCTGCCCCATTCTTTTCTTAAGATCATCAAGACATACCAGTCATTCCTAGACCTTGCCTCATTGGGCTCCCTCTGTGATACCTGATGATGATGGGCTTCACCAGGGACCCTGTGTCCTCTCTCCATGTTTGAATGGAAGCTGTTTATCCTTGTGTGGTCCTTTATCTTTTAAATTCATTTGTGTTTAGTTTTCATGTTTCTTCACTCTTTATTTAAATCTCAGAGTTTCTCTGCAGCTCTGGTCTTTCCATCATGAATGCTTGGAAGTCGTCTGTTTTATTAAAAGATCTAGCTTTTCCCCTGTAACATTATAGTCAGTTATTGTTAGCTGTTTGCCCATTTCTTTTGCCTCTTGGAATGTCGTATTCCAGATTGTCTGTTCCTTTGTGGTGGTGGCTGCTAAATCATGTGTAATCTTGACTGTGGTCCTCTGTACTTGAATTCTTCCTTTCTGGCTGCTTGCATTAAGTTATCTTTGATGTGGAAGCCCTGGATTTTGGCAGTGATATTCCTGGAAGTTTTCATTTTGAGGTTCCCTTAAGGAGGTGACTTGCAGATTCTTTTTTTTTTTAACTTTGTCCTTTGGTTTTAAGAGGTCTGGGCAGTTTTATTTTTCTAATAAAATTTTGAGTTCAAAATTCGTTCCCTGCTCCTTTCCCGTCCGTTGATAAGGCAACCATATATCAATGATACCTGCAAAAGTCATGCAAAACAATTCCATGTTAGCCACATTGCAAAAAAAGAACCAAATAAAGACTGCTGCGTCTGCATTTCAGAGTTCGTCAGTTCTCTCTCTGGGGCTGGGTAGCATTTTTATCATGGATCTTTTGGATCTTGGATCATTGCCTTGATCAGAGTAGCTAAGTCTTTCATGGTTGATCGTCACTACAGTATTGCTTGTTACTGTGTACGTTGGTCTGGTTCTGCTCATTGCACTTTGCATCACTTTGTGTAAGGCTTCTGAGCAGTTTTTGTTTAAGAGTTCTTTAATTAGATATCTAGACTTTTTTTTGGTCATGGCATTCAGATAGTCCAATGATTCTTAAATTTTTCTCCTCAATTTGTTTTCTTTTTTTTTTGTTTTTTAGTGTCAAGAAAATTTGTTACAGAGAAAGTCCAGAGGATTTAGACGTTTCTGGCCAGAAGCGGGCTCCCCCCCTCTTCAGGAGGGGTGGGCCCTGAGTGCAAGGGCAAGTGTGCTTTTATGCAGTTGAATTCGGCACAAAACCTCCCAGGCCAGGATTGGTCCATCCCTTCCCAGGTTACACCTTTCCTTACGTGTTTCCCCTTGATATACTCAAGTATGTTCCCCCTCCTTTGGTCATACGTCCCATGACTCGTTAATGAGGCTCTAATTTTATGCGGGGTGTGTCAGATAATAGTAATGAAGCTCATTAAGCAGGTGCACTAACATTTTTCAGGTGTCTGCAGGTTGACCCTAACTGGTCTGAGCTGGCTCGACACTTATCTTGATTTTGGGGTCTTTATGGAACCATCAACTTACTTTTTATTGGCTAAGCCCAAGCCCACCTACAGTGTACTACTTCCTGGAGCTGTTGCTCTTTAAATCTCTGCATTATTCTACCTGTGCAAATGTAAGCCCTTCTCACTCGAACAATTCCCTCCTCTTCTTCTCAATAAGAATTATGTTTCCACACTTTTTGTTCCTGTTGTCTTTCCTCAAAGCATTTTAACATTAGTTTGCATTCTTCAACAGAGGAGGAGGAATGATTATTAACTCTCTCAGTCATCATCCTGCCTCCACCTGATCCTGTTACCTGAATTCCCACAGCCGGTCCTATTGGGACACTTTTAGTTAGCACTGTTTCTATTAATTTTTGTACTAGTCCTCTGACACAAGGGATGATTGCAGCACCTTACTGCAGTTAAAACTCCCGCAGCTATGATTATGGATGCTGCTATTCCCTTCCATTTGCCAGACCAGGATTCTAACCATCACTTTCAATGCCTTAGTGATGGTTCTACCTGGGACTGTGCTGCTAGGCAACATTTCATCAAGGGATTTTTGGGACTTAAAACAAAATGAGAGAAGGAAGTGAAGACTTGACCGACACATTGACAAATTAAAAAGGGGGCAGTCCCCTTATTAAGTACAGATACAGAGACCCAAAAGTAATGATAAATTATCCATTTAAAGCTTCAGAAGTCTCTTCTCATACTGCTGTCTGACACTCTGGACATCATCTGGTGAAGTCTTTTTGTCTAAGTGCTGTTCAAACCGTGTCCAGCAGACTCTCCTCCTGCAGAGGTCCTTCTTCTTGTATCCACTCTCCTCAGCCATGCAGAAAAGTCGTTCTCCCGATCTTCCCATGAGAACACCTTCTTGCAGCTCATAGGTGCAGCTCACAAACCTCTTTGCAGGTTGCTGACGGCATGGGTCAGTAGCTCAGTCAGTTCGTTGTTAACCACACCTTTGCCCAATATATTGGCTCTTGTGGTCTGCCAGTGGCTTCCCCAATCCCCTGGACTTCTCCCACATGGTCCAAGATCAGGAGTTCAGTTGGGAAAGGCTCAATTCACCGAGACTGCTGAAATGCAGCGGGAGCGCTCGTCCCGGGATGTCTTACCTTGTCCCCTCCGAAGTCTAGATCGAGCCCCACGTTGGGTGCCAAATTGTTAGAAATAGGCTTGACACCAAAAATTTAGTATCAAGAAAATTTTTTTAGTCTTTTAACTTTGTTTTTCTGTTTCTTGTTGCCTCATGGAGTCACTGGCTTCTGTTTGGTCCATTCTCATTTTCAGGAAGTATGTTGCCAAGTCTTCTACCCCTCGTGCCAAGCTGTCTGTTGATTTCTTTTCCAGTTCTTTCTTACACAGCTCTCATTTCTTTTCCATATTCTTTCTCAAGTGTTCTCATTCCAGTTATGAGAACTCTGCCTTCATCTCTTCCAGGAATTCTGGCTAAGTTTGTGCCCGGGCTGTGTTTTTCTCTGAGGCTTTGCTATACATATTGTGGAGTCGTTCTCTCCTTCTGGGCTTGTGTCTTGAGCTTCCCTGCATGGTTATAAAAGCCCATTATGGGGGGAGCTTTATCTGCTGTCTGTCCTGCCAGCCTCCTTCCTGACTAGAGATTTGAAGGGCTCTGCACACTTCTGGAGGGAAAGTCTGGCCTGGTCCTGTTGGCGTTCTCTTGGGGTATTGAATGTCAGGTTGTTTCAGGATCTCAGGGACAGCTCAGGCTGGGGACCTGTAAGCTCTCAGTGCTCCCAGAGTGGTCTGACCAGGGCAGAGTTTGATGGCCCTGCAGAATGGATGCTGTTGGACTTGGCCCCTGTCAGCCGGCAGGGAAACCCTGGGGGTTCAGAGCAGCAGAGCTGTAGGCACCCCTTCGGTCTAGGAATTCTCACTCTGCTTATTCCCCTGCAGCCTGGGCTAGAGGCTGGAAGTGAGACCCTGCCTGCTCTGAGCTTGGGGTCTAAGCCACATTGATGCCGCTGCTGTTGGTGGTGGTGGTGGCAGCAGCTTCTGAAAGTCTCCTTTGTCGACAAACTGCCCAGGGCCTCCCTACCCAGCAGTGCCAGCACCCTTCTCACTCTGCCTTGGGACTGGGTAGTGGGCAGCAGAGTTGCCAGTTGGCGCCTGCCCCTGCTGTAATGGCCTGGCATAGGCCTGAGAGTGCCCGAGGCTGGATCTGGGGCCTCCTTTTGTGTTGATGCTCCACTTCTTCCTGTGTACCAGGCACTCCTGCCTGACACGTACCAACGTCTTCAGACCTTTCCATCTGTTTGCCTTTGCGAACCTGGGCCAGACAAAGGACTCACAGGGGCTTTCTTTTTGGATTTCTCCATTAGGATTCATTCTGGTGCATTTTTTAGTTCGGTTTGGAGGAATTGTGGACAGGAGGTCAGCTTCCTTCTATCCCACCCTTTTTTTTTTTTAAGATGAGAAAAAGTGTTTTCTGAGGAATTTTGACTTTTGATTTCTGGCATTCATGAGAGAGAGAAAATAAGCATTTGTGAACTGGCTACTGTGTGCGCGCCAGGCCTGTGCTGAGCCCTCCACAAATAGCTCGTTTGATGAGACGATTAACGTGGTGGCTTCGTAGCATGTGGATAATTGAGCTGAGTGGTAAATCCTGGGCTTGTAGAGCCCTTTGGCATCAAGGAAGGAGGGTCTTCAAAGACAGGAGTGAACTCATTTCTTAGTGCTTATTATTCTTTTAAATGAGCAAGCAGGATTCTTCACGTAGGGAGTGCTGCTGGCGAGTTGGCTGAAGAGCCCATGGGTTCTAACAATATTGAGTGAAGTCTGACTTTGTTGGCCCTTCTTTTGTCAGGAGGAAAAGACTGAAAGTAAGAAACCCGAGGACTCCCCCAAACTAGAAGAGCTTGAAAGCGAGGAGAGTGACGTGGTGAGGAGGGTGTGGTCACGGGAGGCATGGGGTGGGGGGCGGCTCATTACAGCCTCCAGGTTGCTGAGAGATGAGTGTGCTCTTTGCCCCCTGCAGAGATTGATAATGAAGGAGTGATTGAAGCAGATACAGATTCCCCTCAGGAAATGGGAGATGAAACTGCCGAGGTGAGTTCAAAACAGATGCCACAGCTCGAAGCCCGCAGGTCCTGTACACAGTGTTGTGGGTGGTCGTGCCACTGTCCCATCTTTTCTCTGGTTCTGGGAGATAGAACAAGCATTAAGTGCCTGCGGTATGCCAGGTGCTGTACAGGGAGACAAATCAGATGCCTGCACTGTCAGAGGGAGAGCGCGTGGTCCTCAAGACTGTCCTCAGAATAAGTGCCTGGTGAGAGATGAGGGTCAGGAGAGGCGTCCTGTGGAGCATTCGGATTCTTTGAGGTGGAGGGAGCGGGAGGTGCACCCAGGCCTTTGTGACACCCAGTGCAGAGTCGTGGAGACGGAGGCAGGGTCACCTGTGTGACAGACAGAGAGGACAGTTTGGCCTGGCTCTGTAGAGGGTGGAGTAATGTAGAATTAGGCTGGGAGGGGGCGTGGGGGCCCTGCTTTAAGGACTTTTGGTGGTCAAATGGAGGAGTTTGTAATTTTTTTCTGGAGATGATTGGGAACCATTGGAGTGACATGGTCATGTCAGTTCCTTGAAGGAAATCATTTTCCCAGCTGTGTGTTGGGTGGACTAGAATAGGGAGAGGCATGAAGAAGGGGAAACCAGTTAGGGGAGCATTGCAGTCTCCAGGTGAGAGGTGATGCCATCGAGCCGTGAGGTGGTGGCTGTGGGAGTAGAAAAAAGGGGGCAGATGCACAGGATGTTGTGGAGGGAGACAATTCGGCAAGTTTTGGCTGTTAGGGGGCAGTATCATGCCGTGGTTAGGAGTGAATACGTGGTGGATGGGGGTACTGTACTTCTACGAAACAAGAGGTTAGAGGAAAGCGCTCTGCTTTGTACACGTTTCTGGGACACCGAGCTGGAATATCCAGCAAGGCGATGGGTGAAGTCAGAGGCTGGCGTGCCTCTCCATGGGGGGCACCTGAATGATGAGCCAGTCTTTTATGGCATAAGATGAATTAAATATGCTACAAATTTAAGGCATTTTGAAGTGAATCCAAAAGAACATTCCCTGAAAGCTGTTAAGAGGAGAAAAGGCTATTGTAGAAGACGCTTTTCATCGATTTTGTTCTTTTTAATGTCATAAGGAGAAAGACTTGAATACTAATGAGCACATTCTTAAAAAAAGTCCTGGTGGGGAAAATAAAGCACCGAGCAGAAGGCTGATGTTGGGCGAATGATGCAGAACTTCACCCTCTGCTGCCATAAATCTGTCCTTGCTAGGGGAGAGCCTTCACTTCTGCCCCATGTTCATGACTTTTTTCATGGGCAGAAACAAGGTAAATGTGCGTTATTAAGTCTTGATTCTCACTTCAGTTTAGGCAGTGAACTTCCCTCCCTTTGTAGAAAGACTTTTCCCATTTAGTCATTAAAAACTTAACACAGTATTGTTTCCAGTCTCATAGTGTGTCTGTGGCGGGGTCACCTCGAAAAATTCAGTCAGACCTCCTCTAAGCCAAGAACAGGCATTTATCGAGGATTGACGCCCCTCAGAAGCAGGCTAGGTTCCAAGAGGAACCAGTGACTTAGTGAGACATGAGACAACACAGGCAAATTCATAGTGTAATATTGCTGATGACACAGCAGAAATTGTGAATATTAAAAAGGCAGCAGGAGGGGTTTGCTAAGGGATCAGGTAATGGGGAGGGGTCCTTTCTGTGGCTCAGCGGTCAAACGTCCTGGTCTTGCTACTTTTTGATTGGCCAGGTATTGAGGTCCTGTCTGGTCAAGATGGCTAGGTAGGTGTTATGGTCCTGTCTTGGCTAAAATGGATGATTGTGATTGTGGTTGAGTACAAAGATCTGGGGGCAAGCTAGGGGCAGTGGGCTGTACAGAGATTGGGGCAGGTCAGGGCTGGAAGTCTTTTTCTGGATTTAGAGGTCAGCTAGAAGGAAAAGTGGAGCAGGGAGTGATCCTGGCTGTGAAAGGGCAGCACCGGCTTTGGGGGGGGGGGTGGCGGCAGCTTTGAGCGCTGCCTCCCTTGCCTCTGTGCTCCTCTCACCCCTTCCCTCCTCCGGACCTGATATCATTGATACTGTTCTCTTAATCTTTCTCCAGATAACAGATGAGATGATGGATCAGGCTAATGAAAAGAAAGTGGCAGCCATTGACGCCCTCAATAGTGGTGAGTAGTGGGGATTTCTCTGATCCTCCCAGACTGACCGTGAAGGTCAGGAGGCACCGGCCCTAGACATAGGCAGGTGCCCCAAAGGAAAGGTGTTCGGTCTTTTTCCCTCCCGGTACCTTTGGGAGAGATCTGGCAGTGAGGTGGGTGAATGAACCCCGAGAACCACTGGAGGGAGAAAATACTGTGTTTGGACAGTTTCTCGGTCCTGAAGGTGGGGATGACGCTTCTGGGCGAGGGCCTGCACGCATCCTTGGTGGTTGAGGCCACTCCTCTCAGGCAGCAATGCTCTCTTCTGTCTTAACTCCTGCTGCTCTGCCCTCGGCCAGCCATGGGTGGTTGCAGCGATCCTGGTCTTTTCCTAGATTCCCTTAATGGGCATCTGACGAGTCTCCAGAAGCTTTTTTGATTTGAGAGGAGGACACCATATTGAGAAAATAAGTATGTTGACCCCATGGGGCTTCAGATTTAACGGCTCATTTCCTTCCTGGGCATTTGCTGGTCAGGAGACCCTGAAGCAGACAGGTGTCCTTGTCTGAGAGACCATTTTGCACACTGATCTAACACTGGCCTTCGGCTGGGCATGAGAAGACTGTAGATGATTATTCTGAGTGCTATTTGGAAAATATTGAGTAAATGAACATCACAAGAATACTGAAGTGGTTTGATACTTGTTTTTTGCTTTTCCCCTTGATCGTTACTTTAGGTGATCTTAAGACTGCCATTCAGTTACTCACAGAGGCCATCAAACTGAATCCCCGTTTGGCCATTTTATACGCTAAAAGAGCCAGGTGAGGAGCCCTGGGAGGTAAAGCAGCGTGTGCTGCCGGGAACCCCCCTTCCTTGTCTAGTTGGTGAGTCATTGGATTGGGAGGAGGAGATTCCACATGGCACTCTTCATCATTTGAGCTTTTCCTCTTGTCATAGAGACAATTGTGTCAAGCTTTTGTGGAATTGTTTTTGAAAATATCTGTAAGTTTTATCTGAAAACAATGCTTTTTACTGCCACGTCTCTCTTTTCAGTATCTTTATAAAACTGCAAAAACCAAATGCTGCTATTAGAGATTGTGACAGAGCGATTGAGATAAACCCAGACTCGGCCCAGCCCTACAAGTGGCGAGGGAAGGCCCACAGGTGAGAGGGGTTGTCTGGGCTGAGAGTGGCCCCATTGCTTAATGGGCCATACGGGGTCGGGGGGGGGGGGGTGCAGCTCAGCACAGCCAGAGCCCACCCAGGGTTCTCCTTCTGGAGTTCAACCATTTCCTCTTATGCGCCTCTAGGAGATTGACATTAGAGGTTTTTTCAGTAAAGTACTCATACCCATTTAGCCCAGTCCCTGCACTTTCTGCAGCTGCAGTGTGGTACATCGAAGGATATTGCCTTGATGGTGAAGAATTCAACCCCCAGTGTTGAGTCTGAGGTTGGTTTCTTTAGATTCGAGTTGGGGGACCTGATCCCAATAGAAGGGCTTCCTCCCTCTAAGACTCGATTCCTCTGGAAAAATACTGAAGTCCTTTTTTAGTGTAATAACTTCTGTGCAAGCAGAAAGTATATTTCCTTCGGATTGATTTGTTATGTTGAGAAGTCAGATGGGAATTGAAAAGGCTGTCCTCCTTGACCACCTATGCCGAGGTGGCTTAGTTTCCCAAAAGGCCTTGGCTGACCACCCAGTCCAGCCAAATACCCGTGGAGAGCCGGAGCACCAGGAGCTCCGAGTTGGTGAGGAAGGCAGGGCAGTGTGTGCAGAACAGAGAGCAAAGGAGTGGGTTTTCAAAGCTTTGGGGAGATGTTTGTTGTATTGACTGAAATACTCCAGGCATCATCAGATGGGCCCTCAGACACTTAATAGCTGCCTGGTCTCAGGCAAGTCACTGAACTGCTGCCTACCTCGGTTTCCTCATCTGCAAAATGGCGGTAATTACAGGATCTCCCTCTCAGGGTTGTTGTCAGGCTACAGGGAGGATAATACTTGTAAAGTGCTTAGGACAGTGCCTGGCAGATCATCGGTGCCGTGTGAATTGTTGCTGTCAAAGCGGGCTGGTAGCGTGGAGAAGGCAGAGATCATTTGGGGATTTAGGAGTGGAAGTATTTATTAGAGGGTCGGAGAAAGAGGGAGCAGTCTGGAGGTGGGTTAGAATTTCAGTAGGCTGAGATGGGGGAAAGAGAATTGTGTTGTTTGTATGCTTGGTGGTGTCAGTCACAAAGAAGGCACTGAATGATGGGTGCATGGAAGACTGATGTGCTGTCAGAAAGAGTGATCCCGGTGGGACTTAGACCCTATTGAGCGATAGGATAGAGGCTGTAATTTTTCCCTCGAGGTCAGTCTTAAACTCTTTTCTCTTCCTTTCTCTCCATCAGTGAAAACAGAAGAAGCGATGAGCAGAGGTGTGGGTGCGGGGCAGGCGTGGAGAGTAGAGTGTGGAGGTCTTGGAATGCCCAGCAGAGGAGTTTGGCGTTGGTCCCAGAGGCTCCATTGGGAGGGCAGGGAAGCGTCTTGATAAGGGAAGGGAAGGGAGACCCACACTTGAGGCACGCCGGTTGGGCTGCCCTGATGGAGAGGAAGGAGGACACCCGAGAGGTGGTGTGCATAGTTCAGGAAAACAGTGAGGAGGGGAGGGATGGCTATGTGAATGGAGAGAAAGGGAAGGCTGGGCACCGTATCGTGAAGGGAGAATCGTCGGGGCTTGGCAGCTAGTGGGATGTGGGGGAACCAGGGCAGCGGTGCACCGTGCTGTACGCGTTGCCTCCGGTCTGTTGTTCAGTCTGACTGTGCGTGGCCCCTTTTGGAGTTTTCTTGGCAAAGATACTGGAGTGGTTTACCATTTCCTTCTCCGGCTCATTTTATAAATGAAGAAACTGAGGCAAGCAGGGTGAAGTGACTTGCCCAGGGTCACCCAGCTAGTAAGTGTCGGAGGCCAGATGTGTGAACTTGTGAAGATGAGTTTTCCTGACACCAGGCCTGGTCTGAGCCACCTTTGTGCTAGTTCATAACCTCATTTAAAAAAACTCCAGTCAGTGTATGTGTGCTGGTGCACATGGCTTTATAGGTCACACCATTTTTATTGAGCTGTGCCAGAAATGAGTTACGAATCATATTGGGTCCCCTTGTGTGTCTTACCCCCAAGGCCATCCACTTTGTACACCTGAGACAGCAAGCTACCGTTTCTTATCAGTGGGAATGTTTCAGTCTCGGTGCCTTAGCCAGCCCTCATCCAGTTCCAGAGGCTCTGCTTGTTAATGTTATTTAGGGTCTGATGATGACAAGCTTGAATGAAAGAACCCATGACAAAGCCCTGACCCCGAGACCAGTCACATTTTTAAGAAACAACTGAAAAATAACAATTTTGGGTCCCTTTGTCTTAACTGTGATCCCCACTCCTCCGGATGGTCTGCAGCTGGGTGGAGCTTTCAGGGCTCTTCCGACTAGGGAAGGCAGTTTAGTCTTTCCTTCAAACAGTAGCCACTCACTCTACTGAGACCAGGAATAACACTAATTTTTTTTCAGTTATGTCTGACCTTGTAAGTCCAGCAGTGTAGTTAGTGAAGGGTGACATGAGAGTCAAGTCAAGAGCCCCCAAAAGCTGTGCTTTTGCTTCTTACCTGGCTCATTCAGACCTTCAGAGTTAGCCTCTTTTGATGTGCTTTGGATTGAAAAGCAGGTGCTGTGGCCCGCTGTTTGGGGGATGGGGAAAGAGATTGCAGAGAGAAAATGGGAAGACTTTCTTGATTCATTGTTAAATCCAATGTAGACTGCTTGGCCACTGGGAGGAGTCAGCCCGTGATCTTGCCATGGCTTGCAAACTGGACTATGATGAAGATGCCAGTGCTATGCTGAAGGAAGTCCAGCCAAGGGTAAGTATAGCTGGGAAATAGCCCTGGTATCCATGAAGAATGGGGGTGAAGGAGGTGCTGGCATTTGTGCAGCAAGGGTAGAAAAGGCAGAAATGATCCAGGAGTTTGGCGATAGGCCGGCCCAGGGGCGGGTGGAACACCACACTTGAGTGATCCCCAGTGCCGGGTTGGTGTGTGCCTCGAAACCAGGTTAGGTTCAGGATATTGGCTTCAGGAAGGCTGGGATGTGTGGGACTCCCTGATAGAGTGCCTGCAGGGTAAACCGAGGGCCAGGAGGAGTTTGCTGCTCTGGGTGGCCGGTGTGTGATGGTGTCGTTGTGGCCACAAGAGGGCGCTCTGCCTCTTCTCACTTTCCAGGTTGGCCTCGGGCTCATGCCTGCTGTTTCTTCCTGCCTCTCATAAATAGCTTCTGCTTCATTGCAGTTGGGCCTCTTATCAAGTCCTTCATTATTGGCCTCATCGTAGTTAATAGGTTGTGAACAAATAAAATTATTGTTTGACTGGCTGTCCCAAAGGGTATTTGGTCAGGAACAGTCTTATACTTTTTTGGGGGGTTGGGGCAGAGAATTGGGTTTCTTAGTGATAGTTGTCCAAATGTTTTTTCCCCCCAGTGAGACAATGGGGTGAAGTGACTTGCCCAGGGTCACAAAGCTAGTCATTGTGAAATGTCTGAGGCCAGATTTGAACTCAGGTCTTCCTGAATCCAGGGCCGATGCTCTGTCCACTTGTTTTTTCTCTTTATTCATACTTTAGAGAAAAATTTGTTTTCCTTTCTTTTCTTTCTACCAGGCCCAGAAGATTGCCGAGCATCGGCGAAAATACGAAAGAAAACGTGAGGAGCGAGAGGTCAAAGAAAGGCTAGAAAGGGTGAAGAAGGCTCGGGAAGAGCACGAGCGAGCCCAGAGGGTAAAGTCTGAGCCAAAGACACGAGATCAGGCCTGGTCACTGAAGTCCGTGGCAGGGGGGTTAGTGACCCGGGAGGGCACCTGCGCCCGTGGCACCTCTATAGTGAGCGGATGGTTAGGAAGCCTATGCGGCCTGGGCCTGTCTGGAGCAGCTTGTTTGTACGTGATACAGGGAGATTGCTGCCCACTGTCCCGTCAGACAGCTCTGTGTTCCAAGTGGTAGTATAGGATTACAATTTAATTCGGCAGGAAACTTCCAAGCTGACCAACTGCTGGGGAGAATTTGTGTCCTAGAAGGTATTCCCCCTCATTTATCTCATGCTTCACTGTGACCGTTAGAAAGAATCATAAGTGGACCATTAGTTCCTAAATGCTGCTCCCTGAATCTCTGTTTATCCTTTGAACCAAAGAGCCAAGCCAGAGTGTGTGAGGAGCCCTCAGCCTCTCGTGCGGAGAGCCTGGCCACAGGGAGCGCGGCACCACGCTGGGCTGTCATTCTGCTGCCCCTGAGCCTGAGGCACTCGGGCCTCGTAGAAGCACAGTCACGTCGGTTTTGCCGAGTGTCTGTTGCCCAGGCTTCCATTTCAAACTCAGCTGAGCAGTGCACAGCAGTGCCACTTGTTGATTGACGGGCTGTGCTCCAGGCATCTTTCTTTTTCTGGTCCTTGTATTCGCATTTTAATGTCGGCCTGTTGGGAATTTTATTGTCTTTGCTAGGTCATTCGTTTCTTTAGGAGATGGTTAAAATCAGGGAATGAGCACTCATTTAGCACCTGCTGTGTGCCAAGACCTGTCCTGGGTGCTGGGGAGGCTGCGACACCTTGATGTCGGTAACATAGAAGGAGTGCACTATGGTTCTCTGCAGGCTAGTTTGGAAGGGAAGACTCGGGGCCAGCTCCTTGAGCTCTTGGACTTCTCATTGAGTCATGCAAGTGAGAAAGCATCAAGATTGTTCTTCAGGAATGATGGACTTTCTTTTTTTTCCTTTTTTAAAGGAGGAAGAGGCCCGGCGAACCTCAGGAGCCCAGTTTGGCTCTTTCCCAGGTACCACCCATGAAAAATTTAAAATGTCAGTGTTTTGAATTGTGGAAGTGGATTTTGTTTTTTAGCCACTCCTGGAAGAACATTAATCTTTGTTATTGTCACTTCCTTCCAGAAAATCTTGCTCCTCCTCTCTGTCTCCTTTCCTGCTCTCACATTCTTTCATTCTGTAAAAATGTCTTAGAATTTTTGAATTCTGAAGGACCTTAGATCAACCCATCTGACCCACCGTGTCATATGACAGATGAGGAAGTCCAGAGTCACAGCCATCGTGGCAGTGATAGGAGTCTTGTGCCTCCTGATACTGAATTCTTCTCATTGTGTCTGCCAGGGATCAATGAGCAGGCATAACAGAAATGTCGGTTAAAAAGAAAACATTTTTATGAACTCCAAGTGGGATTTTCTTGTGTATATATTACTGGAGAGCACAGGCTAAGTTCACAAGATCTAGAGAAGAAACTGTGTATGTGGCACTGTATATTCCAGCTATATAACCCTTACATCTCAGGAAAACGGGATGGGGAAGGAGGAGGCATGAAACCCATTTGGAATGGAGAGAAGTGATGCCCAGAAAGCTGAAGTGATAGCCAAGTTCATTTTTCTGATCAGAGATGGACTTGAAGTGAATCGGGTCTCTAAATGAACTTACCACTTGCTGGGCCTGGACCAGGGATTCTAAGAGACAGAGACAAGGAGACAGGCTCACCAGGGACGTGGTAGGGACCAGAAGCCAGGTGGACTGGGTTTCCCCTGTTGCTTAAAATGCTAGCAATGCTAGCACACAGGGGAGGGTTGGCGAGGGGTAGTGATGGTGATATTACCTGGTGACTTGCTGGCTTTAGGGGCAGAAGTCATTGGGTGGAGCATCGCTGAATATTGCTTTGTGATGCAGCTTCTGTACCTCCTGTCAAAGGGCTTTAGGTCATGTAACCCCTTCAGCCCCTCATGTACGAAGGAGGGACAGTAAGTTCTAGAGAAGGGAATCAATAAGCCCAGGGTCATAAGGAGTGCAGAGCCAGAGCAGGGTCAGACCTTGGGCTTCTTTCCTCCCAGTCCTGTGACATTTCCCTAGGGCCAGGTTACTTCCCTACCTTACAAGAGGAAGCATTCACGCTCTGTGGATTGAGATCATATGAAGTTTCCCTGGCTTTCTGCAGTTTGTACCGGTGGTGATGGAGTGGGTATTAATGGAATAATGGAATAACTAAAATGTGAATTAGTAATCTAATGTTAGTGGAAGTTATGCCGTGTACTGTGAAGCACCAGCCAGCTGGTGGTGGAAAGACCACCATATATCAGGAAAAGATGGTGAACCAAGGGACAGCGGGGGACTCGTTCACTAGGCTTCTTGGCTTCTCTGGTCATCTTATCTATGTCAGTAGGAATTGTGAAGCTACCAAAGATGGCTTTAGTTGTAATTTGCTGAAATATAAGATGGAGGATGAATGCGCTGTTGTAGAAACTTGAGCAGAGACAATCTATTTGTCTAAAGCATATTCTGATCAATAGAATTCTTTGGGAAGTCAAAGCCTCTTGTCCTTGTTCTGATGGTCTAGGCCAGCAGGTCAAGTCTAAGCACCCCCGACCCAAGATACTCCCTGAGTGTGACCTGAGCCAGATTAAAGTGTAATTGGGAACTATTTAACCAAATAAATAAAAATGGAATGTAGCATAGGGAACATAAGTTAATATGCAGGACATAGGGATCCTTGGGTATGTGGCCCCATTCCTATTGGAGTTAGATGCTCCAGACCTGGGCTACGGTTGGAAGCCTCAAAATGAAAGCCAGTGATTAAGAGAGTACTAGATAGCCCCGTAGACCATAGGCCAGAGTTATCACTTAGTGGCAGTCTTGGGATGTGGTTGTGACATCAGTGAGCGTTTGGTGAAGAGCAAGCAACGTTCTGGGCTTTGGGAGTCACAGTTTTAAAAGCATGGCTACCATTAGGGGATTTTGGTTCTTCGGTTTTGTTCTTGTTTTGCAGGTTTTCCTGGAGGTATGCCTGGGAACTTTGGAGGCATGCCTGGCATGGGAGGAGCCGTGCCTGGGATGGCAGGAATGCCTGGGCTCAATGAGATTCTTAGTGACCCGGAAGTGCTCGCAGCCATGCAGGTAAGACTTGAAAAAACACGCCATCTGCTGGTTCTTTCCTTACAAGGTGTAGGTAAGAGCGGTTTTATTGGTTCACATTACCAGTTAAACCATGCTAGGAATCACTTTTTCTGTTGAGTCTTGATCTTTCAAGGAACTCATGAAGCCCCCACTTACATGGAGACAGATACAGAGGTTTATAGTGTAAGGCTTTATGAAACAAAAACCAGGGTCTGTGGACTCGGTGTGTTACTAACGCTGTCCTCCACTGCCTCCTTGTGGCCAAAGAAGTAGCTCTGGGTGTGGAGGGGTCTGGCCAGCAGAGGGCAGGCTCTGGTCCCAGTGTCTCATCTTAGGTTCAGCCTAGCTAAGTCTGGAGAGAGTTGGCCGCCGTGGAGTCTTGGCCACACCGCCTCATTCTGAGGTGTGGAGGGACTGGATCAGAGTGGGCAGGAATGAAGACCTTGGGAAAAGGGCATCGGCACCGAGCTCTCTCCCTGGGTGGAAGCTTGTTATAAAGCTCCTTCCCGTTTAAACTCAGCCTGGGCTTGGAGTACTTGTAGGTTCTACAGAAATACCCTTACCAATGGTGGATAATAGGACAAGACGGCAACAGCGGTGTAAATGTCTTGCCTTATGTGAGGGAATGTGGAGGTTTTCTGTTACTTGTCCAGTGCTATCACAGTACATTGGTGGCATGGCTTGATAGAGAGGAAGTCGGTCTCGATTCCAACCGTAACCAAAGTCTACGAGGTAGATTGACAGAAGAGAAGGGAAGGGAGGGATCAGCCCAACCCTTGTGCTTAAAGGTGAACTGGGCCCATTTTCTGTAGGATCAGTTGTTCTTTGTCACCTTTTAGGAGAAGCAGACAACTTTGAAAACAACTAGAACCCTGGGCCAGAAAGCGCAGTGGCCAGCTGATCTCTGTCTGTGGCCTGACAGACGAGTGGCCAGATGAAGGGGCCTTTTTCCTCCAGGATAGTCTGTCTAATGGGTGTTACGACTTTGTTTGCAGGACCCAGAGGTGATGGTGGCGTTCCAGGACGTGGCACAGAACCCTGCCAACATGTCCAAATACCAGAGCAACCCGAAGGTCATGAACCTCATCAGCAAATTGTCAGCGAAATTTGGAGGTCAAGCATAAATGCCCTTTTAACAAATAAAGCCCTTACTGACGGAAAAACAACCCAGATCACTTAATGGACCTCGCAATAATACAAACCAAATGTACCTCTGACCTTCTGGTGAAGAAAACGGGGGTGCTTGGAAGATAACCCCCACCCCACCCCCCGCCCCCAATGCAACAGGAGCATTTTACAGTGATTGGCCATTAGTCTATAGCAGATAACGTTGTCCTGCTCTGAATCGTAAACTTAAGAAACACAGAAGCATTTTCCAAAACTTTGAAATTACTTACAGGAGAAAGGAAAGATAGTGTGTAAAATTGTTTTCTTTACTAATCATTTTGGCTTTCCCTTGGACTTGATTAGATTTCAGGGTGAGGAAGAAGAGACTTCTGTTAAAGATTTCTTATCTAGTTATGGTGGAAATTGGACTAATCAGGCGAGCGTTCCTCACGTAACATGTAAAATTGGAAGCGTGTTTATGCCTGTTGGGGTTTTTTGATTTTTTTTTTTTAAATCCTGATGCGCTTTTTGAAAAAACACTTCTTTGGATGGCAAAACCAAACATGGGAGTGCCGATGATGTAGTGAGTACTTGGGCAGAGACCAGACCTGCCTGCAGTGAGGGCTGGGGCAGTGTTGCCAGGTCTTCCCTCCCGGGGCACTGTGTGGAGGAATTAACCACCTTGGAATCTCGGCTGCTCCGCTGTCCACAGGTCGCCGTCAACATCTGTATTTCTGTTGAGGGAAAGGAAGGAGGGGGTTCCTTTTCTTTCTTGGATGTGGATTGATGTCCTTTCCTCAGCAGCGAGACTCCCGGCCCTCCCTGGGCTGTTTTCAGTTGTTCTCCACGATCTATTTTTTGCCCATTTTATTAGGCTAAAAATAGCTCCCATGTAGTTAGTGTTTATGGAGGCCACCATTCAAAGTGTACTTAGTTGTGCAGACGTTGCCGAATGCTCGGTTTAATGTAAAATGCAACCCTTAGTGTTTCTGTGTACGGGCTAATGCTCTTAACTTCTCATTTGGCCAAGAAATTTCATTTTTATTCATTGGGACCCCAAGCACTACTTGTTTTTCTGTGCTGAAACATGGAGGGAAGAAGTTCATGGTTTTCTTTCTTTTACTTGGGAAATATCTCTTGAAAATTACATTTGCATTAATCTTTCCATTTTGGGGAAGGAGGGCATGAGGATTGGATTAGTGGATACACAAACATGTAGGTGAACTTGGCTATATGATCCATTATTAAATACGTGATTTATGAGTAGATTAGATTTGTGATTCTTTTTGCATTGTAGGGTTGTTTATTTTACGACAGATCTCATCACTGCTTTCTGGTAGGGAGGCTGTTCCTTTCAGTGTGTGCTGGCTGTTTCTCCAGCAGCCACTTCTAACGGTAAGCCAGGTGCCATCCAGAAAACAGCTCTGGCTCTGCCTGCATGGGCGGGGCCTCCCATCTAAAGACACCGTGTGTGTTACTTGTGCACACCTGGAGTAGCTGGGGAAGTAGAATGAATACGGAGCATCCCTGAAATAAGGCATTGGTTAACTGATGACACTTGCTCCCCCATGTAACTGGGCAGGCCGGAGCTGTGGTGTTGAGGGCAGCAGAACTGGTGCAGTGAACACCCTTGCTTGGGCGGAGACGCCTGGGCTTCTCCTGCGGTGTGCTCTCCTTCTCGTAGCCCCCAGCATGATACCACTTGTTCTCCCGGTGTCCTTGGGACTTCCCTTGGTTTACTAAACCGTACCTCCTACATTTAAGCAGTGCAGAAAGTTGAGTCTGGGGAAGCCCTCTTGATCTTAGGAAAACGGCATGTGTTCAGAGCGTGTTGGGTCTGGTTGGTTTGCAGATACAAAGCTTATTTTCCATTTGTCTAGGAAGCAACATGATAGCCAAGCCTGACATTTTTTTCTTGTGCTAACAACCCTACCAGAAAGAAAAATGTGAAAGGAAAGTTTGTTTTTTGTTTTTGCTTAAAAATAGACGTTATCAGATATTTCTAGTCGCCTTCACAAATAAAGTGTGGTTTTCAAACCAGAAGCTGTCGTAGCGTCTCAATTGACCATCCAGACTGGTATTAAAGGTGAGGGCTATCCCGCCCCGCATCTTTTTACCCATCTCAGGGGGACCATGGATAGTGAGGGGCTGTGTCTCTGGGAAGGTGAAGAAGAAAAAACCCCACTGAGAGAGATGGGCAGCCTGGCGAGGCTGTTAGGCCATACATCAAGAGGTCTCGTGGGCGCCGCCGCTGGCCCGCCTGCCATTGCGTTCGGCCTCCCTCAGGTCTTGGGCAGCTTTAATGTCAGAAACATTTTTAGCCACTTGAGTGTGTAAAGGATAGGTTTAATTTCAGTATTGGATTTGAGAGCAAGTACTTGAGACCAAGAACGGGATGACAGGTGTGAAGTCCATGTTAGTGGGGTCTGTCTCAAGTCCATTCATCAGACAAGAGTTGTCTGCTGTGTGAATTGGGCCAGTCAGGGACTAGAGGAAGTGAAAGGCTGGTCCCGAATGCCCTAAGGGAGAGGTCCAGTGAGTGCCGATTATCAAGTATGGTAGGATGGAGGGAAGAAGTCCCAAAGGAAGAAAACAGGGAACGTGGTACAGACATAGCCAGGTTTGACATTACCCACATCTCCAAAGTCTGAGTCTTAAAATTGCTTGTAGACTCCAAGATTTAGCAACTAAGTTACTGACTGGGCAACTGATCAATGCTGGACAAGTAGGAAACAGTTTCTAGATTGTTGGCTGAAGGTATTTCTATATGTAAAAGTAACATTGATAGAAAAAGCTAAATAATGAGATAATTGGCCCAAATGTGTCCAAAAAGTATTTTTAAATTTTAAAATGGCTAAAACATTCCCCCTTCCTGGAGGAAAAAACATGCCAGTAGATGTCTTTTCTAATACTACAGACTAGGCATAGTTTGGGTGTCCAGTAAACCGCAGTTTGGGTCAAATGACTGCATGGTGTTGGCACAAGCTCTGGGAGTATGTGGGAGGGAACAGCCCTTCCCCAAATAGTTTTCAAAATTGACTCAAAAGTATATACTGCTCCTCTCTCTTTTGGAAAGAGGATAGATGATATATGGGGTTGGAGAAGCTCTTGGAGATGTTTAATTTCCAAATTAAATGCTGTTTAATGTTAAGTAACATGTAATTTAAATTTTTAGCTCCTGGTGCCCAAAGGGTTCATTGTTTTTCCCTTTACCTGAGGAAAATTTTACAAGCTGTCCCCACTAAACAAATCTGTCAGGGGAGAGGAGGACGGAATTCCCCCGAGGAGGGGCAGCTAGGGAGCTTATGGTTAAGTAAGGTGAGGGATGATCGATGTAGTCGTTAATGCGGTGAGCGTTTTACCTTACCAGGAGTCGGTGAGGTGACCCAGGAGAAGCTGGAGCCTAGAGAGGAGCTAGAGCCGCCCAGTCTGGAGAAGACGAGCGACTGGCTTGAAGAAGTGCCCAGTGAAGAGAGCTTAGAGTTGTGGGACTCTTCAGCTGAGGATGAGCTTTGGATCATGGGGCCCGTCTCTGGCTCCTTTGTCCCTAATGACAAGGGCACTTTCCCCTGCAGATCTCTAGAGGTGAAGCAGTGGGGACAAAAGAAAGTGAGAATTGAGGAGTTGGAGGGTCTGAGCAGCGAAGAAGAGAGAAGTGGAAGGCTGCCCTATGAGGAAGATTGGGTCAGTGAGGAGGAGATGTGAGATGAGAGCAGAGCTGGATAGAGGCCAAGAAATAAACTGTCAAAGAGAGCTCGGCTCTTGTGGCGTTTTTCCTAAGGTCTTTTACTTGCCTGTGGGCATCCGAACTTTGCCCACCCTTACACTCCAAGGGAGGCAGGTGCCTAGGGGCAAAGTTGTGGGTGACTGACCTCTGGGATCAGAACGGGCAGCACGGAAGACCAGAGGAAGCGCAGTCAGGAGTGCTGGGCCACACCTCACGGGCCACTGGGTGCACCCTGATTGGGGGCTCACCTACAAGTCCCCCTGTGTCCCCTCCCCTTCCCAGAGCTCAAAGTTCTGCAGGAAGTAATGAAAATCACAGTGTCTGATGCAATATGCCCCACCCTCCACCTCACAAAGGGGAAGGGGGAAGGATCTTCCTTGTACAGCACTGAGTTTCTACTATTTTCTGTTCTCTCCATTTATATTGTCATTGTAGCTGATTTGGGGGGGGGGGGAGCCGGGTTTGTGAGGCAGTTGGGATTAAGTGACTTGCCCAGGGTCACACAGCTAGCTAGTCAGTGTCAAATGTCTGGTCTGAGGCCAGATTTGCGCTCAGGTCCTCCTGACTCCAGACCCAGTGCTCTATATCCACTGTTCCACCTAGGGATCTTCCTTTTTGTCAAAGACCCTCTAGCTGTGGAGTCTGGGTCAAAGGGCTTAAACATGCTAATGTCTTTGAATCAGTCAGCAGGTAGTTAGCGATTAAGTGTGTACTGTGGGCCAGACATTGGGTCGTGGGAGACAAGTACTAATCGGAGGCAGAGTTAAATCCCAAGGTAAATTGGGGTGCTTTGCCAAATACCTTAATTTTGTCTTCACAATGCTGGGAGGTAGGTGCTATTATCTACCCCCTTTTTACAGATGAGAAAACAGGCCGAGGGGGATTGTGATTTGCCCAGGGTCACATAACTCCTTTAGTGTTTGAGACAGAATTTGAATTTAGGTCTCCCTGACTCCCAGGTCTACCCATCATGCCACCTAGATGATGGATCTGCTAAGAGATCATTGGTATCTGGAGAGACGGAGTTCAGATGAGCCAGGAGGTTGGAACATAGGTGACAAAATGAGTAGAGAGGCAGTGGAGACGCTGCCTTTTTCTAGCACTGGAGCTGATGAGAGTTTGCCGTCCAGAGTGGTGGCAAGCCTGTCTTCCCAAACCCCTCTGCATCGACTGCTCCCATCTTATGCCATCTTTGTTCATCAGCCCATCTGAGGTGAAACTTGCAGGGGCTTGGGTTTCCCTCTTTCAGTGATGTGGAGCAGTCTTTCATAGATAGGGTTAACAGTTTGCAGTTTTGAAAAACTCCTTTCCTTTGACCAAACTTACTCTGGATTGATTTTTTAATTTCTGTTGACTAAATATCAGACATCAGATATTTGATGGATTTTTTTTTTTGCTAGTCTACTGCTTACCCCAGTAGTGTTATTTTTACTAAATATTTTTATTCCATATAATCGAAGTTACATATTTAATCTTTAGTAATTGCCTCTATCCCTTGTTTGGCTAGGAATTTATTCCTATCCATAGCTGTGAAAGGTAGGCGGATGATGACTTTAAATTTCTTAATGCTATGATCTTTAGTATGCAGGTCATATATCCATTTAAAAATTGTTGAGTATGGTGTAAGATACTGATCGAAACTTTATTTCTTACTTAAAGAGGCTTTGCAGAAGAATCAGAAGCAGGTCAGGTCAGTGCTGAAGGCAAATAGGTCCTTTTTTGAGTCATTTCACGAAAGGCCATATGGTTTCTTTGGGCTCATCCAAGAGAGCAGGCAGAGAAGGGTGGGAGGGTGGGGGAGAAGCAAAGAGAATTACAGAGGATATGGCCTCCTCCCCTTCCTCCTATCCGGGCCAGAAAAGGGCAAGGAAGGAATATTGTCAGGGATTCTGAGGCTTTCAATGGTCTTTAGGAGGAGGGAGGGGGTCCGCATAGGGCATGGTTCATGGTTGTCCCAAGCCCAGGGCCTCCTGGGGGCATCCATCGTGCTCAGTTTCCTATTCCAGAGGTCTAACAGAGAGATGATAATGCACTGGGAAAGTGGAGGTTTCTAGCAAAGAAGAGAAAAGTTAGATGGAGGGGGCTCCAGAGGATGAGGGGGACAAGCAGAGCAAGGCACCAAGTTGAGGGAGAGATTCAGCTAGGGGCCGAAAGTGTGGCGGTCAATGAGATGGCTCTTGACCTGAGCCTTGGGAGGGACAGAAGGTTTCACAAAGTGGAGGAAAGAGGCAAAGGCATCTCTGGAATGATGGGTACCAGGAACAGCTAGAGGATGACGGATATGAGTCACGTGTAATCAAGCCCAGAAAAGAGCAGGAAGCCTGAAAGGGGAGTTTGTACTGAAAGCACTGGCTGACACTCTAGGACCACGGGAGTCACCGGTGCTTTGGGAACATCCGTGTAGGGAAAGGTGGAGAGAGCAAAGACTAGGAGCGGGGTCAAGGCTCAGGAGCTGAACCACCATCATCAAGAGGCTACCCCCGAGATGTTGGCAGGAGGCCTACATCATGGGCAGAGCCCGAGGGAAGGATGGCAGGTTGAGACCAACGTGATGTGTGCTGGAATTGGAAGGGGAGAGAAGTGTATGACAGGGTCATAGCATGGGTGACTGGAAGAGGGGAGGCTGGATTTGGGGGAAAGAGAAGAGAGAAGGCGTGTTGCGTTTAGGATACTTGTGAGACAGCTCTGGAGACAGGGACCTGGCTTCAGATCGCAGCTCTCTTGCTGTGTGAGTGACCCCGGCCCAGTCACATCAGTTTCCTCCTCTATAAAATGATGGGATTGGATTCATTGGCTTCTGAGGTCCCTACAAGTCCATAATCTAGGACTTTCATAGAGATGAAATAGAGTGAAATCCTTGGGAGGGATGAGATCCCTGAGAGAGAAGGCAGAGAGATGGCCTAGGAGAAGGGCATCCGTAACAATGTCCCCACGTTAAGGATTAGGTCATTTTTTTTTTGAGGCAGTCAGGGTTAAGTGACTTGCCCAGGGTCACAAAGCTGGTAAGTGTCTAAGGCCGGATTTGAATTCAGATCCTCCTGACTCCAGGGCCGATGCTCTCTCCACTTCGACACCTAGCTGCCCGTCATCCATTTTGAAAGACCAGGTGTCATTGTTAGAGTAGCATAAGGGCACAATAGATAGGAAGACAGCCTCTGACTTTCAGAAAGACCCAGGTCCTCATCATGCCTCTGATCCATCCTCGCTGGGTGATCCTGGGTGAGTCACCTACCTCTGCAGTGCTCCTGGACTGCTTCGCAGACTAGAAATTAGCCGCCCGCACTGGCTTTGGGTGTTTATTCCTCCAGTGACATCACTAGGCCTGTCCTTGCCCGCTGTGAGCTGGCATGCAGTGCAGGACAGAGGAGAGGAGGTTTTAGCCCCTTCTTCTGTCTGGGCTCCAGTTCCCTCATGTGTCCAAGAAGAGGGTGGAACTCAGCTTGTCCTCTGACTGCCCACATGTCCACAAAGGAGATTTACATTATTAGGTGAATAATAGCGTTTTAGGTAGCCCCTACTCTGTGCTAGGCACCGAGTTAAGTGCTTTACGATTATCACAATGCCATTTGATCTTCACAACAACTTTGGGAAGTAGGTGCTGCTATTATCCCGTTCTGCAGAGGAGGAAACAGGTAAACAAGCTATGTGACTTGCCCAGGGCCACACAGCTAGTGGCTGAGGCCAGATGTGAACTCGGGAAGATGCGTCGTCTTGATTCCAAGCCCAGTGTTGCATGCCCTATGGCACCCCTAGCTGCCATAACAATAACAATAGTGGTACAATGGCTAAGAAACCCAACTAAAATTCTGTATTTCTGACCCAGAAGATGAGGGCCAGCAAATGAAAATAGGCCTTTTGAGAGCTGCTAAGTCCTTGGGGTCACGGCCCCTTCTTCAGTGGCCTGCGTGCACCTTAACCCCCTGCCATTTTTTTCCCTTGGCAATTCACCTATAAATTTACGTGATTTGCTCTTGAGTCCTACACTGAGTATATGTAGCAGTCCCGCCTTCCCCGCTACACCCAGGGGCCTGTCAGCTAATTTATTGTATCTCTAGGCAATATTTCAGCCACGAGGGGCTCCATAGTGCATAGAGCGCCAAGCCTGGAGTCAGGAAGACTCAGCCTTCCGAGTTCAAATCTTAACCCTGCTTGCCTCAGTTTCCTCATCTGTAAAATGGCAAACCACTCCAGTATCTCTGCCAAGAACACCCCAAATGGGGTCACAGAGAGTCAGACATGACTGAAAAATGACTGAACAATATAAATGGATAGAAATGTGGGAGACTGAATGAGGGGTGCCATGGACAGAAACTGACGTCAAAGGGAAGACCAGATTTAAGGAGGAAAATGAGCTCGGTTTGGGTTGCACAGTGAGTTTTTGAGGTCCTTGTAGGATAGCAAGACCTGCAGATGCATTGTAGGCTGCTGGAGATGGAGCTCAGAATGCAGATCAAGATTTTGGTTAGGTATCTGGTAGTGATAGAGATCATTGTTGTCAAGTGGGCTCAGTGAAGGTAGTTCAAGGATTGCTGAATAGGAAGGAAGAGAGCCAGGAACAGACGTTTAGAAATCCCACACTGAGAGGTTGGCGGGGAAGGACAGTGAGACGGAGGAAGAGAATCAGGAAAGTGGGATGTCTCTGAAGAGGAAAGGAAATCCAGTTTGGGGGGGAGGGGTCATTAGCATAACAGGGGAATCGAGGCCAAGAAGGACCAAAAACGGATGTTGAGTTTGGCCAAGAGTTTACTGTTGCAGCTCTCGCAGACAGGTGGGGGACCCGACAGGCTGCAGGCAGTTGAAGAAAGGAACAGTGAAGAGGGGAGCACACGAGGGATGCCATCTGGAACGGGCCCAGGTGGTGCTGAGTGTCTCGAGTCATCGAGGGCCTGTGAGGGATCGGAGCTGGCCACAGCACATTGGAGGAGCCACACAGATCCCAGAGCGGCCTCGGCCGCTTGACAGTCGCCAAAGTGCTTCTGGTGGTGCTGAGAATGAGACGCTGAGGAGATGCCCACTGCTGGTGTGGCATGTGAATGGAATGGAATCTTTCTGTGCTGTGGGGAACCTTTAATAGGGGGAACTTGGAGAAGCCTGTGATTTCCACCAACTGTGGGAAAACAACAAACACAATAACAAAGCATTTACTAAGTATTTACTGTGTGCCAGGAGGGGCAGCTTGGAGTCAGGTAGACCTGAATTCAAATGTGACCTCAGACACTTCCTAGCTGTGTGACCCCGGGCAAGTCACTTCAGCCTGTTTGCCTCAGTTTCCTCATCTGTAAAATGACCTGCAGAAGGACATGGCAAACCGTTCCAGCATCTTTGCTGAGAAAAGCCCAAATAGGGTCACGAAGAGTTGGACGCGACTGAACACCATCACTAAAAACCCCCAAAGGTTATCCATGAAAATTTACTGCCCCTTGAGACTACCTTTTATCTCTGCATCTTTTTTTTTTTTTTAGGCAATTGGAGTTAAGTGAGTCGCCCAGGGTCACACAGCTAGTAAGTGTCAAGTGTTTCGTTTGGGGCCACATTTGAACTCAGGTCCTCCTGACTTCAGGGCCGGTGCTCCATCTACTGCACCACCTTGCTGCCCCCTACATTCATCTTGTCATCCTGTACACAGCCGTTGGATGTAAGCTCATGGAAGGCTGGGACCCTTTTGCTTCAGTTCTAGCTGATAGACACCTGTGGAGCTCTGTGCTAACGGGGCTGCTAACCCCTCTAGTTTGCCCTTGAGCACCACTGGTGATGAATAAATGTTGATCCGTGAAGCGATAACTCGACGCCTCAAAACTACACTAAGCATTTAGGAACACCCTGTAAGCGCCCCCCCCGCCCCAACACGCAAGAAAAACAAAGAACCGAAAAGGTGGAGGGCTGCAGGTGCGGAATGAGGTATACCCTGCCTCTAAACAGCCAAGGCACTGATTGACTTCTTTTTGGGGACCGCCCTTCGCTGCTACCAAGGGAGTGTTCTGAGGGTATGGGGGAAGACTCGGAGCTTCGGCGGCGATTTTTGAAAAGGTGACGGGGACCAAAAACCCACCGAAAGGAAAAAGTTCAAGAACGATAGAGGTTTGCGTCACGAAGCGAGACTCGCCTAGCGCGCCTGCACCGGGTGCCGGGCGCCCATTGGCGGGCCCGCGCCGCCGCCCTCTGATTGGCTTCCCCGAGGGCCCGCCCCCTCGGGTCCCGCCTTCTCTCTTCGCGGGGCAGTGGAGGGCCCCGGGCGACCCGGAAGTGATTGCCATGGCGGAGGCCGGTGAGAGGGCGGGGCCTGCGGACGCTGGGAGCTCGACGCTGGGCCGGCCGCCGCCTCGCTGCCTGTGCCCGCTGCGCGCACTCCTCTCGCTCCGCTTGCTGGCACAGCTGCGGCCGAAGCGTCCCCTGGGGTCGGACGAGAGCCGAGCCCATGGCCGCCGTGCTATCCTACGAGAGCCTGGTCCACGCTGTGGCCGGCGCCGTGGTGAGGAGGGGGCGGGGGAGCGGAGCGGGCCTGGGGGGACCCGGATGTGGACGGTGCGAGCCCGGACACCCGGATGTCCGGGCGCGTGCCGATAGGTTTCGGAAAAGGACCCTTGAGTCCGAGGGGGAGGGGCTTCCCCGGCCCCGGTCCATCCGTGGCCCCGGAGGGGAGTCGTGAGTGTTTCCACTGACCGCTCAATGAAATGCGGCGAGACCTTCGATTACGAACCTAGGGGTGGGGTCCAGGGCACGGCCAGCCCCCTCATTTACAGAAAAGGAAACTGAGGCGAAACGACTTGCCTGGGGTCACCCGATCAGTAAACAGCAGAGACAAGTCTGGAGCGCGGAGGGGGGTCTTTGATTCGGGATCCTCGGGCCCTCCCGTCCCGCCCCCCCCCCGCGCTCCTAGGACCCCCCGGTCTCTCCCTTTACTCCGGGGAGGGGGAGACGTTTTCATCCCGAGGGTTCCCCGGTCCCCTGGGGTCCTTTCCGCCCCGTCAGTGGGCCGTTCATCATCTGGGGTGTGCGAGGCTGGCTCGGGCAGCGCTGGGCAGAGAAGAGAGTGGGGGCGTGCCTTGGGCTGCCTGGAGGAGTCTGCAGGAAGCGGGGGTCTCATCACCTTCCTGCCTGGGCCCCCCACCCCCTTCCTCGGGCCCACGCCGACTCCCCGTGCTGCTCCTGCAGCCTTTTCCCACAATGGAGAAAGAGACCGGGCCCCTTGTCAGCGTTAAGGGGGGGGTGGTGAATGGCGACTCTCCAGATGTGAGTGACAGGTGTGGTCTTCCCTAGCCTCTGACACCTGCCCCCCACTGCCCTTGGTGGCTCCCTGGCTTGAAGCGCTCTCCACCCTTGGCTCTCAGGGGCCCGGCTTCCCCCAGCTCCCTCCTCTCAGAAAGTGGTTTTCCCATTTGCCTCCTCAGCTCCGCCCTGTTGGAAATTTGGACCTATAAGTTCCGGTGCCCTGAGGCAAGCAGAGAAGATTGTTTCTCAGTGGGGCATCGGGAGGGAAGGAACCTTTGAGATCATCGGGTCTGATCTTACCTGGCACTGCCCATGGATCTGCTTTCCGTCCTCCCTGCTCCGCTGTCTGTTGTGGCTTTCCTTGGGCAGCGTGGTGTAATGCAAAAAGCCCAAAGGGCCTGGGTTCGGATCCTGCCTTTGTGGCCTCGGGCAGGTCACTTATCCGTCCCTCTGTGTCTCAGTTTCCTCCTCTGTAAAACGAGGGGATTGGACTTGGTAGTCCCTGAGGCCCTGCCGGCTTGGACCCCTGCCCCCTTTCCCTGCCCACAGTTCCATTCAGCCTATTCTCTAGAAGTTCTAGGAAGGACTGTTTAAGTATCATTTCTGTGCCAGGTCTCATGCTGGGCACGGGGGTCATAGCAGGCCCTGCACTGGAGGAACTTGAGGGACTCCCAGGCCGGTCTGCTCCATGTGGGTGCAGTTCGAGTTAGGGACTTTCCCCTTCGGATTCAGCTGCAATCTCCCTCCATCGATGCTGGTGGTATTCACTGGGCTCAGGCCACCTCCCTGGGCCTTCGGGCCCTCTCTCTTTACGGTCTCACAGCCTAGAGGATGCTCCCATGGCTTCAAGTCAGACCTGTATTGGGATGGCTGCTGACCAGATCTAGGGCTCTGCGCTAAGCACAGCGTCTTTCAGCCCTGCCCCAGACCCGGGTGTGGGGCATGTCTGTTTTTCTGGTTCCTCAGGTTTGTGATGAGCTCTGTTCCCTCCTTCTTCACTTCCCCACGTGTGATGTGTCCTGCCATTTTTCTCAGCTGTGGCTCAGTGCCACTCTTTTCCCCATAGCCGTTGCCATTGTATAGGTCCTTCCGGTAACTGTTGGAAATTGAACTAGCCTTTTTCAAACACTTCATCATGCCACCCACTCGCTTAGCCATCTTCGTGGATCTCCACTGATGGCTGACTTACGCACTTGTTCCTCAGATCTCATTAACCTCATTTTCAGCCCCTCCAGGTAGTCTCCTCTTCTTCACCAGTCCCTTTTGTTCTCCTTCAATATATAGCTCCAAAGAAGTATTCCGTGATTGAATAGAGCCTGGTTATTCGTACGGCCCCACCCGCTCTGGGCTCGTATAGATGGTGTCAGTTCTCCTCAGTGTTTTCTGTAGTCTTAGAAAGGTTACTTTTGTCATGTGTGCTTATACTTTAGTTCCCTCTAGATTAAATGTTCTGGGGCCACGGCTTTTGTTTCTTTTGTGTTCCTAGCCTCTACTTTCAAAATGGACGGACTCACTTAAATTCTTTGTTCATGTTGGGCCAAGGAAGCAGGCCTCTTATTCTGTATTAATTCTACATAGAATTAAATTTAGAGTTTCTGAGACTCAGACGTCAAGCTGGAGGGACATCAGTGGTCATATAAACCAGTCTCTATGCAAGTCACAGCTCAGAATCCTTCCAACAGCCACCCCATGGGCATCCGCCGTGAGCCGTGGCTTTGTGGAGCAACCTGGTCAGAGAGCTGAGGGGTGCAGAGATGAGGCAGGAGGGCAGTAAAGTGGGCCACCAAGAGCTGTGGGATTTCAGAGGAAGAAGAAATAATGTCATTGGGGGAGATGTGTGACAGAGATGGCCTTTGAGCCCCTTCTAGAAGGGTGCTAGAATCTGGGGTGATGGAGCTGGAGAGGGGAGGGCATTGAGCTGAGGAGGGTAGAGGGAATAAAGGATGGGAGGTGGTAAAGCGCAGGCCCCGGGGGATGAATGAATGAGTTGAGTGAGTGAGCATCTAATAAGCTCTTCCTGTGTGCGGTGCCCTATGGTAAGAGCCAGGCACTGATAGAGATGTAACAGCCCTTGCCCTCGAGGAGGGGAGACCCCACAGAGAGGAGGGTTCAGCTGCAGGGCCAGTGGAGAGCCCCTGTGGACCTTTGGGGCTTCAGTGAAGCAAATGTTAACATGTCTTCTTTCATGTCATTTCCATGGAGAAAACCATGTCCGTTTCTGCTGCTGAAGTCTTTGGCAGTCATTTGGAGCGTAAGACCTTCCTGGCCCTCCTGGAGGCAGGTGCCGCCTGTGCCTTCAGGAGAACGGGCTGCTAGGCCGGGCTAGGGGTGGAGGGGCCGCTCCTCTGGGGCTCCTGGCTGTGAGTCTTGGACTGAGAGCAAGTGGGGCAGGGGCTTCTTCACATCTGCCTGGAACAGGATTGCTCCTGTTCCCTCTGAGTGCCGTCATAATGTGGCGTTTTCTTCTAATGTAATCCCTGCCCCCTTATGTAGCACTTAACTTTATGTGATTCAGAACTTCAGTGTTGCTGTGTTTTTATATTTCCTCTATAAAAAAATTAAGAGTCTATAACACAGATGTGAACATATAATAAAACACTTTGCTTTAGCTTTCACTCTGCCCCCGGAGTACCCCTGCCCATCCCCAGAACACACATACCTCTTCGGGAGGCGCTTTGCCTTTTTTCTCCCATAGCCCTCGTGTAGGAGAGCTGGTCTCTGACTTCTTCATGTCGTAAGCAAAGTCTACACGGATTACGTCCTTTCCTCAGCCACATCCCAACCAAATCCGTCACCAAGTGACAGGGAGCATGGAGCCTCGCTTGGGTTGGCACTCCAGTGAGACAGTAGCTGGATTTTTATGAAACATCATAAGCTTAGGATCATAGAAGCTTCCATGGGGCTGTCGTATAACCTTGAGTAGCAGAAGGTCAGCTTGCCAGACTGAGAGGTAGGCCTTCTGGTTCCACTTGAAGGGTTTTTCCCTGAAAGAGCCTTTGGGGCATTGTAACTTTGTTTGATGACATATTGAGTGAACAAGCCTTTAGTAAACGCCAGGTGCCAAGGTGCAGTCAGGAAAGTGGACAGTTCTGCCCTCAAGGAAATCCCGTTCTCCACAGAGTCTCATGGCAGGTAGACGCGGATCATATTCAGTCTTGGAGTGGGAAGGGACATCCGAGGTCATGTAGTCCAGCTACATCCCATCATGAATCCCTTTTCCTTCCATGACAAGTGGGCGTCAGTCTTTGCTTGAAGGCCTCTCGCAAGGGCCATTCCCTACCTTCCAAGCAGCCCGAGGCACTTTGCCCTCGCTGTCATTCTCGAGAGGTTTGGTCCTAGCTCAAGCCTGCTACTGCCTCCTGATCACCATCAGCCCATTTCTCTTGCTTCTGCCCTCTAGGCTGAGTCCGTTTCTTCTTCAGGCATGTGGAGGCAGTTCTCCTGGGCCCCCTATATGTACCACATTGGTCTTGATAGAGAGCAGTTTTCTCAAATGTCATCTTTTTGAAAAGAAAACCATGTAGGTATGTACTGAAAAATAATTACTGAGTACAATTCTGGGCTTCTCTCAGGTTTTGTACAAGTTAGAGCAGTTTGAGGAAAAGCCTGTGCCATGTTGAGAGCAGTGTGGGATCCATGCCCCCCCGTGTTTGGGTATAGCTACTACAGGTGTAGACAGCCATTGTGCCCACAGTTAGCTGCCCCGCTAATGCTGCTTGTTAGCTACATCGATGCCATGTGAGCCTGCTTAGGAAAACAAAGCAGACAGGGTGACCTTGGCAGGCCCTGCCCCCTTGTTATAGTTTCTTCACTGTTGCATTTTTGCAGAATCAATGAGCAACATTAGGGAAGGGTGCATCTTGTACTCAATGTGTATAAAAAGTGGATTGAAATTGCTTTGGTGTATGCGTTTTATTTTGAGTTTTGTGACACCAATGATGTTTTATTGATAATTTGGAATGTTGTAGAGTGGGGATGGAGATCTTTTCTCTTTTTTAGGGAGAATAGCATTTTAGCAGGAGCCAACTTAGAAGCTGAAGCAATGGGCTTCTCCCTTGGCCAAGTAGCCTCATATCTAAGCAAAGCAGAATCTGTAAGAATTCAAGGAAGCAATAGCTGCAGACAGGCCTATCCTTACTTATCTGGGTCTCTTGCCTTGACGAGAAGACTCATAATTTGTGGAAATAGAAATTTGGAATTTAAAAAGAATTTTGCCCAGATGAGTTGGGGTTTTTAAAAGTAGGTTCTAATGCCCTGTAA